ATGCTTCAGGTAAGTTTCTTTACTACTTTTTCGTCTCGTAGCTATAGTCCTAATCACTCTGCTTTTCCAACCAGTGCTCAAAATCATACGGACAAGAAGAAACGTTTCTTATGTCCACCTCCACTGTACGGATCACTGGACCGTACAGACAACTACCAAAGTATACCCGACCGATCCTCTCAATGTCAATCTTGAATGAAGAAGGTGATCGACATCTCTCTCAAACGGCTTATCTGGGTGAAGAAGAATCAAGCGTCCATTTCAAAAGTTTACATATCAGTGGAGCAGCTAAGAAGGCCAAACATGTTACCCTTGAATTATCTCTTCATCCACCTTCGAATTCGCCTAATCATAATATCCATGGTCTTGGACCGGATGTCAACGAACTTGCTTTACCGTTTGCTACTTTTACCTCGAATGAGTGTAATATTATTTCCAAACCTTCAAAGGTATGTATCCCCCCTTTTCGATAATGGTCATCTTTCTCGTTGAACATGTGAATTCGAACTGATATGAATTGACTTCTTTATCACTAGAAAACTGCCAAGGCTCGAAACACACAATCTTGTATCTTCAACGGATCGACTATTTGTTTATTCAACCGAATCAACTCACAAACCGTTCGAACCAAGTATTTATGTGTAGAACAAGATCAACTAGCTGCTCGAGCATCTCAGTGGTCTGCTTTTACGATCAACGTGGTCAGAAGAGCCGAAGATGCTGGTCGTGATGGTTCACCACCACTAGCGACGAAGACGTTACTATCAAGTAGTATTCCAGGAGCGGATCGTACGGTTACTTATGGTTCTGAAGTCGAGTTGATTGACTTTGTGACAGGTGTCTCAAGTGGTCCGTTAGTGGTCAGAAAGGTTGAGAAGAACAAGGTGCAAAAGGATGCGACTGGACCGATTAGTCAAATGCAAAAACTAGCGTTTTGTAAGGTTGATCGAAATGATGGTAGTGCGATCTATGTCAGTGCACTTGAACCTGGTCGATTTCCTTCACCTCCCGAACTCGGATCTCCATTTGAGATGAGTGGAGGTAATGAGTCGAATGGAATGTCATATGGTCAAACTTGTCAACCTGCCCCACCACCTGCTCTTCATGCTTTACAATATCAAGCTCCGAGAGCTACACTTCCACCAGAAGAGAGAGGTGGGATGACACTTGATGAGATTGATGATTCGGTGGCTTGGACTGTGATTGGTGTTGGTAAGTTATGACTGTCTCACTTATGATTTCGATATTCGATAGATTATAGTTTCTAATCTTATGAAATCTTTACAGCTCACTTCTCTCATACGTTTTTCGATCTATCACAAATTTATCCACAAATCCCTCATGAGCCGATCACACCCTTACCGGTGATTATCAGTCGACCTGAAATCGAATTAGAGGCGATGACATTGACGATGAGCTTGACTGGATTCTTTGATGCTGAAGCAAGACCGATGGAGATCTGGATGGGACCCATCGGACCGTTACCGGTGAATGTGATTGGAACGACGGGGATCACATTAGCATCAGAACATGCTACCACAGGAGGAGGAGTTAGATTACAAATGAATGATAGATCTCGACAAGAAACAATTTTAGTAGTGAGCTTACCAGCGATTGAAATGATGTATTGGACCTTACATGGCAAAGAAATGAAAGCAGGCACGATGATTGTTTTAGATGAATCGAATAAGATGATTGGAGAATTGATTGGGAAGAGAGCAGATTCGGTTGAAACGGCAATTCCTACTTTACCTCTTACTGTTATTCGACCTGATGGAATGAGTTCGGTGATGGCTTATTCGATTTGTTTGGTGGAAAATGAATCGGGTCATTCTTCACTTCAACATCATCAACTTTCTGGATTCGGATCTGATGGTAGTCATACTAATGGGAATGCAGAAGATGAAAGATCATCTGTTGGACCGGTTTGTATTTTGAAAGTCATTTGATCTTTGAGATCTTGTCTTCTTTTTTCTTTAGTTTTTCGTTTTATTATATCACACATTTTGGTGGAAGGAAAACTCGTTAAAATATCAGTAGTAAGCAATTAGTAAAGCAATTCGCAAATCATTCAATTTTGTCGTCGTCGTCTATCTCTTTCTCTTTCTCTCTTCATTTTGATTTATATTTATGTTTCTGTTTATGTTTCTTTATCTAGTTGTGATTTATGTATATGTTGTTCATAGTTATCTTGAATTTGGATACCTACTTGAATCAACCCCTTCCGCATCCCAAAAAAATAGATTATATATCTCGTTTTTTCATATACCTTTTCTTTTCTTTTCTCTCGCATTTCTTTTTTTTTGTTGTCATTTTTTTTCTAAATCATTGAAAAAAAAATCATATGCACAAGTTTTTGTTGGGTTTTGTTTTTTCTATTTAATCAATCAATCAATCATTTTTGTGTTTATTTTAAAAAAAAATTGATTGGAAGTTTTTTTAAAAAAATAAAAAAAAATACACATGAAAGGATTAAAGTTATTATGTATGGCATTTTCTTTTAGCATTTGACATTGTTGTTTTTTGTTATTTTTTTAATTCATCAGTTTTGGATTGCAATTGAGTGTTTGAAATGACTTGGTTTTTTTCGTGAGTCAAGAGAGAATCAAGAGAGAGAGGGAGATGGATGATGGGTTTTTGGGTATAAGGATATTATGAAGTGGTAGTCTTTTACGTAGTGACTGTAAATTACAGAGTTCGATTTGACTGTATGAGTGAATGCAGTGGTTTACATAATAAGTTGGTTCTTGACCATTTAGATCTCTGTTTACCATGAAAACTTGAATTTTCTAATTTCTTCATGTTCTCATCAAAACTCATTCAATCCAGTTCAACTCATCAACATCAGTCCAACAACTCACAACTCAATCCTACTTCGCAAGAACAACAGTCTTCTTCATCCCGTAATCATGTTCGTCAAAAGGATAAAATCATGGCAGCTTGTGCTGGTGGAGTACTCACTAGTCTCACAAGTAAGTCATCATCTTTTCAAAATATCAATCAAATCAAATACTGATCTCTTTCTTAAATAGTGACGCCTTTGGATGTTATTAAAACTCGACTTCAAACTCAACTACCAAATTCATCTTCATCTTCGAATTTTGCTTCCAGTCATCCTTCAACCCCTCAATGTATCAACTCTAGTCTTCTTTCTACAAGAAGATCAACAACTGCTTATCTTCAAACCTCTCAAAACTGTTGTAAACAAGCACAAACTCATCTAAACTCATTATCCAACGAAACAATCTTACGACGATTTGATCCTAGAGCACTAAAACATTCGTGTGCTTCTCTCTCTCTTTCACTCAATGGTTCATCATCTACCAATCTTTCTGGTCTTTTCAAATCTTCTGCTTCTTCTTCTTCGTGGATCCAATCAACTTCTTCATCAAACCCACTAATTCAATCTTTTCGCCTACCTCCTCATCCTTCAACAGTACCTGCTTCAGGTATAATTGATTCGATTTTCAAAATCGTACAACATGAAGGAGTTGGAACACTTTGGAGAGGCATCGGTCCTACACTTGTGATGGCTATACCTGCTCAAGCTGTTTATATGGTTGGATATGATACTCTTCGATCTAACCTTCTTGAGCTTGGTCCTAGATATTCTTTAGAAGATAGATTAGGACCTCCAAATGGATGGTATCGGACTACGATTGCTCCTTTGCTAGCCGGTGTCTTATCACGTTCATTGGTGGCTGTTTTGTTTTGTCCTTTGGAATTACTTCGAACTCGACTTCAATCTGCGCCTCCTCGGATCAGTCCTTTAACTCAATTTAATCGTAATCAAAGCCTTTCTGAACTTAAATTGAAACCTTCGAAATCGATTTTGAAATCCACTTTGAGTTCAGTTCAACACTCGGGAATCACCAGTTTATATAGAGGTTTATCAGCTACTCTATGGCGAGATGTACCGTTTAGTGGGATATATTGGTCGACGTATGAGATGTGTCGTAAGATGATCAGTGATGGAAACGGATTTGGAGAATCGATTCCAGGATCTGAAAGTTTTAGCGTCAGTAGGATCGCCAGTGAAAGTTTTTTGGCCGGTTCGATTAGTGGTTGTTTTGCAGCGATCTTGACCAATCCGTTTGATTTGATTAAAACTCGACGTCAAGTGATGGTGATGAGTTCCTTTAAGAATCTCGAACTTGAAAACCCTTCTAAACATGGAACGCTTAGGATGATTTATCAGATCGCTAGACTTGAAGGTCGAAAAGGTTTGATGAAGGGTCTTTCTCCTAGATTGGCTAAAATCATTCCTAGTTGTGGAATCATGATTGTAAGTCTTGAATGGAATTCTAAGCTTGTGGATGATTGAGTTTAGGAGGTTTTGGTTTTGGTTTACTTATGTTTTTTTTTGATTTGGGTGGGGGCGGGTTTGATTGAATAGGCATCTTATGAAGGATTAGCTCAAGTGTTTGCTCAATATTGATCAAACTTAAACATTCCAAAATTGCATGTGAATCAAAAAAAATCAACCTTTCGAATCTGAAAATGTAAATTCTTTTTTTTATTAAAGTCGCTATTGATTCTCGAAAATAGTGCAGCACACAGAGAAAAAACACTTCAATGTACCTTGTTTTCATTATCATCTGTTTTTCATTTCTTTTTTGTTTCAATGTGTGAGGTGGAGTTGAATTTTTCTCAAAATAATGTTGAACTGATCGTCAATAGAAAAAAAGCTCATTTATGAAAATACTTTATTTTCACTTACTTGTGATCAATTTTTAGAAGTTTATGAAATTGGTTTTGTATAACACGAATTTGAACGGTTGATTGCATTGATATTTGGAGTGGAATTTGAATGAAATCAACTTATGATGCATAATGCGGAGATGGTAAACAGATGAATGTCTTCAAAAAGATGTGATGCTTTTCACTGCAGTTTTTTTTACTTGATTTTCTTGTAAGACATACTATCATCAAGATTTAAAACATGTCTTATCTCGGATCCAGTCAGAGTCAGTGCATATATGTAGAATGGATCAAGCCAAGAGAGAGTATGTATGTAATGTATGTATGTACAATGATCCGATTCTGATCTGATCTGGTCTCTTAGATTGGAACTCTTTGCTGATGATGTATGCGGAGTTAGTTGGTGGTATTTAACCAGATCTTTGATGTTCGTTGGTGTAGGATGTAGGCGGTGTAAGGGGATGCATGGTATATACCGATTGGTAATGGAATTGCAGAATTGGAATGCATGGTATATACCGATTGGAATTGGAGGATTTCTTGATATTTTTTTGAAGTTTGTGATTCCTGATTGATTTATAATGAGTGTGACCCTGAATGATTGATTTTAGAGTCTGGAATAGTTTTTTATGAATTAGTTTGGATTGATTTTATTAGTTGATATATAGAATGAGTTCGATGAAAGGTTTTGAAGAAACTGAGGAATTAGTAAAACCAAAAGAATCAGATCAAGAAAACTTGAAGATAAACTCTGATTTAAACTTGAATGTCAATCTGAATCTGAATCCGAATGAAGGGATAAGTCTGGATGATTCAAATTTAAATCCAATCCAACCTTTTTCAAAAACTATTCAACTTGATGATTTATTGAAAACTTGGTTTATTATTTCATCTACTTTACCAATGTGGAAATCTAAAAAGAATATCACCATTACTTATTCATTAAGACCACCACCACAAAAACATCAAGAACAAAAACCTTATCCAATCTTGAATGAGTAAGTCATCTTGATTCAATCCCACTTCCCAAAACTTTATTATGTACAAAAGATCATGGGTTGATTTGTTTTTTTTGGGGGGGGGGTATAGTTTAGTAGAATTTCATTCGAATATGAGTTGTAAACCAACAACCAAAAAGAAAAGCATCAAAGGAATTGATAAACCGTTAAAGGAAAATGATGGTTTGGTTTATTGTTTAAATGAATGGAAATGGAATGGGAATGGGGTTTTGAAAGTCTTGAAATCGAATTGGAAAATCTTATTATACGATTTTAATCATCATCAAGAAGGTCAAGCAGGTCAAGAAGGTAAAGGAGGTAAAGAAGAAGAACGGATTGAATGGTTGATTGTTTATTTTTCTAAAACTTTCTTTACTCCGCGTGGAATTGATCTTTATTGTAATCGATCTGATGGGTTTAGCTCTGGTTTTGCTTCTTTATTAAAACAAAAAATTATCAAGGTTAGTCAAACCATATCTTCTCTTTTTCTTTCAATAAAAAAGATCAGTGGCGCTTTATTTTGAGAAGTTTGACTGATTTCTTGGTGGTTTTTGGTTTGGTTTGAATTTGTAGGAACTTAGGATGAATGAAAGTCATGAGATTTGTGAACTTGTTGATCAATTATTTGATATTCATCATGATGTTTGAAAATCAGGTTGTTATAAATATGTATACTTTGGATTTCTTTCTTTTGTTCTTGGTTGGTTTGTTTCTTTGGGATTGGGCTTTCTTTGTAGCTTTAGAGAGAAGATGAAAAGTTGCTATGAGTTACAATTTTGTGTGAATGTGATATTTTTGTTTGAGAATGGATTGATTTGTTTTGTACAGAGTATCCAAGTTGAAAACTAAAACTCGATTTTACCACTTCCAACTTTCAAGTTCCACGTTTACAAAATTAAAAATCCAAATTATTTTAAAGCACTTGAGACTTGAATTCGAGTAAGTTTTCCACTCAACTCATTCAAAATGATCTCAATCAGAGAATCACTTGAAGATCCTTCAATTCCATATCAATCTATCCTTCTAAGCTTCTCAGCTGCTGTCTTTGCTTTCGAATTCTACTTGCGGTATTTACCATTCACTCTTCTCTCTTTCATTCATCCATGACTTACTAACCAATCCTTTTGATCTTCTAGTCTACGTCAAATTCCTCATCTTCGACTTGAAAAACCTCCTGCTTCGATCGCTCCTTATCTAATAGCATCCAATGATCCCAAATCAGATCAAAAAGAAACATCTGAATCCAGTAAAGAAACTTCAAAAGAATTAACAGCTCAAGAAACCTTTGAAAGATCACAATCTTATGCATTAGATAAAATTAAATTCTCATTATTCACTAGTATCATTGATCAAATCGAAACATGGGCCATCTTAACTAATCTTGTACCGATTTATATGGGTATGGATCCTAAGAAACCATCAAGTGGAATAGCATTATTATGGAATCTATCAGAAACTTTAACCCATAAATTAGATTTAATCTTAGCTGATCGATTTAGGATCGGTACAGGAGAAATTCCGATTTCCATGGTCTTTGTTAGTTTATTAAGTTTGATGGGAATGATCACATCGATTCCTATTGATCTTTTGAAAACTTTTGGATTAGAAGAAAAACATGGGTTTAATAAACAAAGCTTTGGTTTATGGGTTTCGGATTTTATTAAAACTACTATCCTTTCGGCGCTCTTAGGGTTACCTTTGGTGGCTGTCTTTATTAAGGTGGTTAGGTATGCTGGTGAAGCTTTTGTTCAATATGTAATGTTGTTTGTGTAAGTGTTTTGGGTCTTGGTTTTTTTTTCAAAAAAGTTTCGATGGTTTGGTTTTGAAGATTTGAAATTGACTTTTTTGATGGGGTTTTAGGATGGCATTGGTCTTATTCATGTGTGAGTGATGGGTTTTATTTCTTGAGAAAAAGATTCTTCATGATTGATCAAGTTTCATTTAACATTATGGGATGATGTTTTTTTAGATGTGGGATATCCTTACTTGATCGCACCTCTTTTCAACAAGTATCAACGTTTAAGCGAATTTCCCGAATACCAAGAAGTTCAAACCCGTACTGAAAACTTGGCAAAGAGAGTAAGGAATTGAATTTCTAGTTGGACTTTTTGGAGATTTGATTGATATTGGAAGACTGATGATTGGTTTGATATCTTTTCTTTAGATTAATTTCCCTTTAGGTCGGTTATGGGTCATTGATGGATCTAAACGAAGTGCACATTCTAATGCATTCTTTTTCGGTTTACCTGGATTGACAAAACAGTTAGTTGATCCATCCAGATGGTCATTTGAAACCTGCTTTTTCAGATCTTGGAATCTTACGGATTCTTTTTTTCATTTGCGTTCTTCTTTAGCATTGTTTTGTACGATACTTTACTCAAGCAAAGCACCCCGGCCGAAGTGGAGGCAGTACTCGGTGAGATGATTTGATGTGGTTTTTTGGAGATGAAGATACACATGACTGATTAATGATAAATTTTCATAGCTCATGAACTTGGTCATTGGAAGATGAACCACACCGTCACTCTACTCGGTTTATCACAATTTCAAATCGCTTTTAGTTTATCAATCTTTCGATTCTTTATCTGGAACTCAGCACTTTTCCAAGCCTTTGGATTCTCACCCTTGAACTCATCTGATCCATTCTCAACCAACAAATCAATTTATCCAATCTTGATTGGTTTCACTTTAGCTCAAAATCTCTTCACGCCACTTAATTCGATCATGTCTTTTGGTTCGAATAGTGTGAGTAGAAGATTAGAATTTCAAGCTGATCATTTTGCTGTGAGATTGGGTGGGAGTTATGCGAATGATCTTAAGTGGGCTTTGGTTAGGATTAGTGCTGAGAATAAAGCCACGACTAGTTGTGATTGGTTATATTCAGCTTTTCATCGTAAGTTTCTTATTGATCTTGATGAAATTTGAATTTGAGTTTTTGAGATTGGGTTGTTTATTGATTGATTTCTTCGTTTTGGGGGTAAAGATTCACATCCTACTTTACCTGAAAGATTGGCACGTCTTGATGATGAAGTTTCAGATGGAAAGAAGAAGAAATGAACAGAAGAAAAAGAGAATCTATTGGGGTTTACTTTGGTTATAAAAAAGGTTCAAAGATGATCATCTCTTCATGAATGTAATCAAACTTCTTCATATGGTGAAATCATGATGATAGGTTCTTTGTTTGAAGAACTTGTCTCTTTTATCTCTCTTCAACTTGAAAAAAACTTTGCATCATTCAACAATCACATCTGCATCTTTTATTCTTTATGACAATTTTGGAAATGACTGTTTCATGTGAACTTTTTTTTGCAGGTTCAAATTCAAGTTTCATGACTGTAGTCCAGTGAAATTCATAAAGGAAATCTTTTTATGATATGATCAATGTATGTATTGATCCAAGGTTGATGTCAAATATTTGATTGGTTTCCAGCGTTCATTGGAGTTGGCAAAAATTATCAGAGGTTGGTTCAACTGGTCAAAGTTGGACTTGGTGCTCTTTAGAGTTGGTTTATAGGGCCATTTCTTGCATTTCTGACCTGGAATTAACTCTGTTTGGAGTAAAATAAAGTGAACATCCATGAGAAGTCACATTCCTTCCCAAGCAGTTTTCATGAAACATAAAGGTGCACTAAGAATGTGGGGAATCAGATATCTGTTTAAACCCTGGCCGTGCCAAATTCCCGGCAAAAACGTGAGAAGAGAGCTCAGCCTAGCTCAGCGAAAAATTGCTTACAAACTCATTGCCCCGCAGAGCAGCCAGGGGGTGCTTGCAATTGCGGGACCGGGGTTAAAGGTCAATGCTGACTTGAACTTCAAGGGCACCAAAGAGGCTTGTTGATCTGCTTAGATCAGCTTAGATCAGCTTTGGTAACCCTTTGTGATCTGTTCCCTTTGAATGTTTTAGGATTTACAGCATCAATTGTCAAATTGTGGGTGCTCTGACCTGATCAGTATCATCAGAACTTATTTGGCTTATTTTTGAAAATTTTTGATTTCACTCAATTCAGTTAAATTGACAATCCAATCCATCTCCTACTTTCTCTTCTTTACCTTCATCCTCATCACATCATGAATCCTACATCTTCATCAAACTCAGACCAGTCAGTACCCATCTCACAAGACTTGAACAACTTATTGTCTATTCCTTGTGAGTTTCATACCTGTTTCAAAACCTCAGAAAGGCTATGTAGCGAAAGATTATGCAACTGCGCGCTCGGACTTTGATATCGTTGAGATTAAACGGTTTTTCCCTTTTCTGTTTTGTTTCCTTTTTCAAGTTTGGCCGTTAGGAGGTCCAGCTTTTGTTCGGCTTTGTAGGGGTTTACCAGATCCGACTCCATCTTTTCTTTATCAACTAGATCAAATCGATCTTGCCAACAAATATTTACATCCATCAAGTGTTGAGGTTTCAAAGAACGATGTAAACTTTCGATATACATTGGAGGGCAATGATCAAGTTGGAAATTCTTCAATTCAATCTTTCATCTCATCCAGCGCTTTGAGCCCTGAATTGAAAGAAGGTTTTGGTCGAGCATCTTCAATCGAGACGTCCACATCACGATCAATCTTTACAGATAAACGTTCTCACTTCTCACAATCTTCACCTATTTCTTCAATTCATGAACTGCCTTCACCCGGGTTGGCGGTAAAAGCAAATCAAATTTCAAATTTGGATGGAGCTCCCATCTTGGATCATGACGACGTGCTTCGATCTGAACCGATAGCTTCAATTTCTACGGGTGAATCTCAACCTACTGTTAAACTTAAATCACTCAATAATACTCAAGCCTTCAATGAGCAAAATGATATGGAAATAGATACCAATTTTGTCGCCATAATGGGAGGAAACAGTCACAAGTTGAACCAAAAGCGACCACATCTATTAGATGATGCGGCAAGTCTCAGTAATACCAACAAGAAAAACAAAACAAAACCAGATAAAGTACTTGATGACCATAGATGGTCTAGTAGCTTTCAAAATGTTCAAAAACCTGGCAAAGATTCTCATTCGCAACATGAAGATATAACGGTGTGTAAAGCAGTCGAATCTTGCAGACCATCCTCAGCTTCATCCGTGGACTTATTCCTGGCCACATGTATACCACCAGCGGTTCTACTTTCCGAGCCTTCATCCCACCAGAAGCCTCCAGCGTCACTACCTCAACGGCCCTCGCAATACCCAGAGCGTACATCCGGTCCCACATCAACCTATTCAGACCATAGAAGACCTCCAATGGGTTGGGACCATAAAACCAAGCATCATAGCTCCAGTCAAAAGTCTGATTTGAGCCGAAGCGAATCCAGTCAACACCGCTCTCCTTGTGCCAAAATCACATCCCAACACATCCAATCTTCTCGCCACGAAAGATATAGTGATACAGAAAATTGGCCCCGGAACCATGATAGGAAAGAATCAGGCTCCAAGGTGTTACCACACAACACCTTGGCTTCCGATCTGTCCAGCCAGCGACTCACCCTAGGCAGTGCTTCCAATAACATCCCAATGCCGTTTGTTCGATCTTTCGTTTCCAAGCCTCAATCAGAAACTCGTGTGCCTGAACAAGTTCCTGCGGAGGGTGAAATTGAGATTTGTATTCCTGAACTTCTCGATGCTATCAAGACGGTGAAATCATCGCGATTGAGGTCAGAAGGGTATGTAGGAGATGAAGCTATGGAGACAGGCAGCATGTCTTTCAATGCTCAACCTTTAGATATGAAGAAGATCGATGTGAAGAAGATCGATGCGAAGAAGATCGATGCGAAGAAAAACCCTCTGACAAGCTCAAAGGCATCGAACGTAGAGAGTCGTTCGACTATTGATGAAGATGAGCGTGATTCGCAAAGAAAAGGTTCTTTCAAGTTGGATGACAAATTTCCATTGGATGCTTATATTCTCAATGTCATTGAAGACAGCACCTCAACTCATGAACGATGGATAGTAGAAGCATTTTGTCGAGTTGGGATTTGGCTCGAAGAGAAAGGAGTATGGGAGCATGGTAATTGGGGATGTTTACTTTCGAATCAATTAGCACGCTTTATTGATCTAGGTGGAAAAGATAGACTTTCAAAACTTCTTGCTGCTGATAGACCCCTTAAGTTTGAAGAGATTTTAAAACACACCAAAAAGTTTGATCGTATTCTCGCTATCAATACTAAAGATGGCTTGATGCACATTCGTCTGATGAAAGATTTCACGCCACGTGGTTTGTTTTATCAGTAAGTCACGTTCTTTCTTACCATGTTTTGATCTTTAATCTGACCATGATTCTACTCGTCTTGGGGGGTTCTCATCACATCAGCACACTCATTCGAGCCATGAGACAGTACACTTATACAAATCGTACCGCTGTTGTTGACCGAAACAAATTGGAAACTGGCTTCATAATCCCAAAGACTGGAAGGGTTTCAGACATCTTACCACCCTATACGAATTTTCGCAAGTATACTCGTTGGGCCGAAACCGAAGGTGTGATCGTGGTGATTTCTAGAACGAAGTCAGCTGCTAAAGATCTCAAGTTAACATCACCTTGGCTTCATGCTGCTTATAAAGACGAACCAGCACCCGAGGTCAAACTTGAAAGAAGTGTAGTGGAAGAGATTGAAAGTTTAATGGCTCAATTGCAATGAGGTTTAAAAATCGAATCTTTCCATGAAAAAATATCAAAAGGTGTTGGTATCTTATTTTAGTGCTTGGGTTTAAATCGTTCTATTTTTTTGAAAAAAAAACATTAAGCTTTTGTACAGCATGATGGGTTACTTAATTTTAACCAGTGATGAAAAAGTTATAGCAAATTGAATGCAACTGTGCAGGATTTTGAAGATTGTTGTGTGCTTTTTGTTTTCATTTTTATCAAACCATCTCTGGATCAGATATCAGAGCTTTACAGTATAATGATCTACATAATTTTAATCAGTGATGAAAATGTCAAGATATTATAACAGATTGAATTCAACTGTGTAAGATTGATTGATGGGTTTGAAGATTGGTTTACTTTTTTGGTTTCATTTTTTTATTAAACAGTCTGTAAACACATATCAGAGCTTTTTTGGATGAACAAATGTGATGGAAAAGCTCAGTTAATGTAATAGTATTTACAAATTTACCTATATACAAATCCTATTGAAGAAAACTTGAAGCTCTTGCCTACTATTTGATGATATGATGAATGAAAGTTATTGATGTTTGATTCACCTTGCTTCAAATGGTCTCTTTATACTTCTTCTTGTCCTGTGATCGCTCTGGCCACTACTGTACTGCAGCATATAAGCACTTTCTCAGCATGTTTATCACACTATCATCTTGACTATGATTTTCTGAGTAATTGTTTTAATTTTGATTCAGTGGTTGTATAGTCTTGAAAGACTTGAGATTGGATGTCTGAGAAAATTGATTATTATATAGCCTTTATGATTTACATTTCTTACAAGTATTAAGGATACATCTTTAGTGTGAATTAGCTGATTTGTAAAAACAATGGGTCAAGTAAGAAGAGTTTTATCAATTGTTTGATTGATAGATTGATTGACTGTTCAAGAATATGGTGAATGATGAGCTGTAAGGGTGGAAATGTAACTTATTGATTATGGGATTGTGTTAGGGTATGGGTTTATAGAGATGGGGTTGAGTATGTAGATCGTTTGGTCCTTCCCCCCCTTACAGTTTCTCTTTCTTTTCATTTGTGGTTTTCTATTATTCTCATTTATCTCTATTGTTCTATTGGCTACATTGGTTTTCTGATCTTTCAAGTGTTGGACTAGGAATTGATACAAGTGGTTTAGATAAACCTGTGCTCTCTCAAGAGCTGTGCCATTACTTTGACTCAGTGAAGGTGGAGAATTCACTCCACCTTACACTTTTTTTATCACCCCTTCAATCTATTCAGATACAATTGGTGATTTAGTTTTCTATTCAATATCTCAAGTGATTTTTACAGTTAAATATACCTAGTCTTACAGTTTGAAGTGGCGTACGACACCACCAAAACAAATCCAGTATACATCCAGTTTCATATAGTTCAATAGTGATATAGCCACCATTTGATGTCAGATCAGATTTGTAATACATGTACTAACCCAGTCCCCAAGCTTATTAGTGTCTTCAATCTCAAAAGTTAACTCTGAATCTTGCACATTTCTCAAGCAACTGTCCCAGCAGTTGGTATGGAGGTTGTGTCAATGTCCTTATTACACCAAGAGCTCAACTCTTTCTTGAACCCCACCCCCACATACTGGTACAAGGAATTTGCAACCTTTTCCGGCTGCTTGGTCTTCTATTGCAAGACAATTGATTCCTTCATCAAGCAAAATCATCTTGTTCTCAAGCAAAATCATCTAGTTCCTTTGTCGAGTTGATCTTCACTTTTTCTCATCCACTTGTCCTTCTTTTGTCTCAAGACCTGATAGATCTGTTTTGATTATCATTCCTGGCTACCTGTAGTTCTTTGACCATGAAGATTTGTTTGATTCCTGTGTCGCTATTGATATTAGTCTTGATAGATGGAGGCTTAGGTGTTTTTTTTTTGAATGTAGGATTTGAGTGCAATCAAACCTAAGATGTGTCAGTTACTATAAGATTTTCTCAACAACTTTTACTATTGGCCTAGCTCAAGTAACAAGTGTTCAATTCTGTTCCAACAAAGAAGGCTTGCAATTGCTTCTATCACATGGGACTCGGGATCAAGTGTGGAATTTTGAGGTTTGGTTGCGCAGGTTGGGAGAAACTTGCAATTTTTCATCATTCCAATAATCAACCTTAATTTTTAAATATTGAAATACATACACCAGAAGAAGTTTTTCAAACAAAAAGTCAGAAAAAATCAACAAAGAATATTACAATCATCTTGTGCCTTGTACAAAAATTACTTATCTACATCAAAGAGCTCCATAAAACTCAAAATTCTTGTTTGGTTTTCTTTCCAAAAAAAATGAAATCATTCTATGTCAGTAAATACATCTTGCCAATGCTACTCTCTTTGAATTATTTGAATGAATGTGGTGAATTGAAACTTGTTTTGCAGTATATCCTAGGTAGGAATTGGATTGCATGTTTGATAAACTACTAGATTGGTTCCTCCTATCCAAGACTGGACATTGTGATGGAAGCACTGCCCATCCTATGTGCATGTAAAAACATAAGGCCATTGCTGCAGGCCTACCTCTCCCTCCTTCTTATACTGACAAGCAGCAATCAAATCAAAAAAGAAACAAAGGAGCATACCCTACTTTCTCAATGGACCACCCTTTACACTTGAGCTGCTGAAAATGCTCCTGGTCATGTGAATCATCCAAGATGCCCTTCCTTGGGCTTGATTTGAAGACACAGCAGTTTGAGCAGCTTTCACTTTGATCAATTGAGATGCTTTGGTACAATCCAGGACTTGGGAGGGTGACTTATGTAGAAGAAGGATATTCCATTGACTGTGATAAAAGCTCCCTGGGGTCTTTATGAGTGGGTTGTAATGCCTATGGGCCTTACAAATGCACCAGCAACTCAGCAAAGGAGATGTGAAGAGGTGTTGGGTGATCTACTCAATAAAGTATGTGTAGTATATGTTGATGATATTGTGGTCTTTTTGGGAATGGTGGAAGAACATGAGGAGCATTTGCATGTGGTGCTTCAGAGGTTGTGTGCAGCTAACTTGTATTGTGGGTGAAGAAGACAAAGCTATTTTGTTGCAGAATTCATTTTTTAGGGCACAAGATTGGGGAGGATGGGATAGAAGCAGATGATGAGAAGGTAGCAAAGGTAACAAATTGGAAGAAACTAAAATCACAAAAACAGGTAAATGAGTTCTTGGGTACAGTGTAGTGGATGAAAAAATTTGTGGATGGACTAGAGAAGTATGCGGGGCAGCTCTCACCTTTGACAAGTAGTAAGATAGTGGACTCTTTTGTCTGGACGGAGAAAGAAGAGGCGGCTTTTGAAAATATTAAGTGTATGATTACAACACCTCCTGTTTTACGCAATATAGATTATGACATGGATGAACCAGTTTGGTTGTTCATGGATGCCAGTGGGCATAAGTTGGGTGCAGCCCTCTTCCAGGGAGCGGACTGGGAGACAGAGAGTCTGGTGGCTCACAATGGGTGTCAGATGACTCCAGGGAGAGTAACTACCCTGTGCATGAGCAAGAAGTACTGGCGGTCATCAGTGCTCTGCAAAGATGGTGAATATTGTTGTTTGGATTCAAAGTTCATGTGATGACAGACCACCACTCCCTTACTCATTTATTGTTGCAAAGGAACCTTGGTCTTTGTGAGACTCTGTCTCAATTTGATTTAGAACTTAAATACTTTCAAGGTGCACATAATTCTGTATTGGATGCCTTGTCACAGGTGGAATCAGCAGTGATTGCTATGTCTGTAGCCCACATGGATGAAGCAGTTATAGATCAAATCAAGAAGGGTTATGAGGAGGACATATGTTGTGTGAAATTGGCAAAAGTGTTGCCTTTACGGTCAAATTGTACATGGCGTGATGGGTTGATGTATGTTGATAATTGGCTAGTTGTACCTGCAATGGGGTCTCTTTATAATGGTTTAATTGTGTTGGCTCACAAATCTGTAGGTCATTTGGGTGGCTGGAAGACAACAGCACGTTTGAAAGAAAAAAAATCTGGCCAGGGTTATTGGGAGATGTGGAACGGTTTGTTGTGTCCTGTGATGCCTGTCGACACCATCAAGCTTGTACTACGAAGACACTGGATTGCTTTCAAAGTACAGACATACCCCGTTGTCCTATGAGTAATATTGCCTTGGGTTTTGTGGGGCTCTTTCCCAAAGTGTTGGGGTATGATATGGTGCTATCTTGCACACGTAGGTTGACTTGCTTTGTTTGGCTTATTCCAGAGAATCAAAAGGATACGGCTGAACAAACAGCACAGCACCTTTTCAACTCTTGGTTGTTGATTTTTGGGGCTCCGGACAAGATGGTGGGTGATTGTGACAAGACTTGGCAGTCTTGATTCTGGTGCGAGCTTCATCAGCTGTTAGGGATTTTGGTGAACCTGACAACAGCATATCATCCGCAAGCTGATGGTCAAGCTGAATGCAAAAACAAAAACTTTGGCCAACTGTTGTGTTTTTCAACTCAGAAGAAACAGGGCAAATGGTTGGAAAGCTTACCTATGGCAGAATATGCAATCAACTCAGCAGTTAATGCAGCAACAAAATTTTTGCTGATGAAGTTTGTCTTGGGTAGTCAACCTTGGTTGTTCCCAATCATGTTGGACGGAATTCGAGTAGGAGATGATGTTGAGAAGTGGTTAGAAGAAAGGCAGGCAGAGTGGGCGTCCTGGAGGGATCAGTTGTGGGCATCAAGCGTGGATTGAGCATTGAAATACCATAAGAGAAGAGGAGGAGAGTTGGGAGCGGAAGTGAGTGACTTGGTTCTGGTAGAAAGTACTAATAGGTCTCAAATAGTGGGTGGCAAGGTTGGGAAGCTGAGGGCACGGTACAATGGACATTATGCAATGACTCATGTGTTGAACAATGAACAGGATTTTGAATTGCAGTTGGAGGATGGCAACTTGACACACAGTGTCTTCCATGCATATAAACTCAAGTTGTACCGGATGGCTGAGGAAGTGGTAGGGTAGGGGTTCAGCGCGGAGTTACTCTGTGCAAGTAAGTCTCCTCCATCTTGTATGCACCAACCGTGGGGTTCTACCTCCCTTGTTTTCAATCAAACTTTACCACAGCCACATGTGTGAGCACTAAATCTGTGTTTGCTTTCAGGAATTGGACGGTTGTTTTCAAATTTGATGATGTGGAAGAATTGGGTTGTGGTTGTGGTTTTTTGTTTTTTGTTTTCTCTTCTTTTCCTTTTTCTCATTTTTCTTTTTTTTGTGTCTCATTTTTTTTCTTTTTCAGGATTCATTTTACTATATTATATTAAGGTTACAGAGGGGGTTGTTTCTTTTGTGGTGGATCAAATGAGAGAGGAGTTAGGAGGTTCTATGGAGGGTTTGTTTAGTTTTTGCTGGGGAGGGTGTAAGGGTGGAAGTGTAACTTAATGATTATGGAATTGTGTCAGGCTATGGGTTTATAGAGATGGGGTTGAGTAGACAGTTTGGTCCTTCCCCCCTCACAGTTTCTTTTTCTTTTCCTTTGTGGTTTTCTCTTATTCTCATTTATCTCTATCTTTCAATGGGCTATCTCAGTTTTCTGATCTTTCAAGTGTTGGACTAGGAATCAATACAAGCGGTTTAGATAAACCCTTGCTCTCTCGAGAGCTGTGCCATCACTTTGACCCAGTGAAGGTGGAGGATTCACTCTACCTTACATGAGCTTTTCAAACATTTAAAGTACATCAACACACTTTTTTTGAAAAAAAGTCAAGAGGAGTTATGATTCTTGAATTGACTGAGCTCTTTTTAAACTTGAGCATCTTCAAAGGATGAGCTCTTCTTCCCTTACTCATTTCACATTTCACATTTCTCAGATTTCGTGTTTTGATTCTTTAGTTGAAATAACGTACTAGAAAGACTTGATAAGTATCAGACCAAAATTCTTGGAGACAAGAAAAGGTGCTATCAAGCTTTGACATCAGCTTTGATTGTCAATTCTCATATTTGTCTTGCATAGGGTAAGATTTGAGGCGTTCAGGGCTGTCAAATTCATGTGATGCTGTCTGATGAGTCATCAGGCAATCACACAGAGTCTATTGCAATTTAAGATTTGTGGACTGATTCAGTATGCAATCAGCTAGAAAAAGGCACATAAACTTGAAGCATCTTCAACTCAGTCATCTGATATATGTACGTTGACTGGTATGATAGGTCAAAGTGTTATCTGGATGTGCCACAGGGGCGAATGATGACAAAGACAATTGCCAACTTCTTGTTCTAAATGAAACAACTTGTGAAGTTTAAACGATTGGAACAGGGTATATGTAGTACACTAAAACTCAACATTGGACATTGATTCATTTTTGTAACTGAGAATCATACTAATACAAAACCAGAGGCTAAAGAGAGAGATTGATCTAAAGGTAATAAGGGGCTCGACTAGCATTAATCCCATATTCACCTAATGCCTGTGATAGATCTTCTTGAGTCAAGACTGTACGCGTTCGATCCTAAGAGATCAATCAAATAAATATCAATATGAGCTGATGAATCTTTAAAAAAAATAATCTGAATGAAAACAGATTCAGATTGGAAAGAAAGTTAGAATTTCGATTAACAAACCTTTCGAGTACTCGTTCCAGGTTGATTACCATGTGATAAGTTTGCCGAATTAGCATTCGGAATCAATGGACCTTGTCTTCCTCCCGGAGCTTGACCGGTCCGAGTTCTTGCATATCCAAATGCATCTTGAGCAATATCGGCCACAAACTTTTGACACGCCAAGGCCAATAAACGTTGGATACGAACATCGGTACATTCGAAACCTACACGTTGTAAGTAATAGGCAGCTACTTCGTCTGGAATCACGGGTTTGTAATCATCCATCTTTAATAAGAATTGAGCTAGTTCTCTGTGATTAAAGAAGATCAATGGATTAGATTTTCGAGGTTGGAAAGTCGATCTGATTGAAAAGATACGTACTGATCTTTCTGGTGCATTTCTTGTTCCTTTAAAGACATGCCATTCGAATGAAACGGATCGGTGACCACGGGAGTTGAAGCTGATGGGTTCGCTCCATTAAGAGAAGGAGGTACTGATTGAGGACCAGCGAGTGGAGTATGATTAACAGTCGGAGAAGCTAAAGCTGAAGGATGAATAGTTTGTAGATGAGCAGGAATCGAGCTAGATAATGAAGAATGATGAATGTTTGAAGTAGGATTAGATGATGATGATGATGATTGATTTGGATGATTGATTGAAAATGATTGAGATGTAGTTGGATGAATGTTAGTTGGATTGTTAGATGGTTGATGATTGATTGAAGAAGAGTTTGAAGAAGTTGGATTGTTAAGACTAGTTCGATGGTTGATGAGTTGAGATGAATTGATTGGATTTCCTACTCCATTACTATTACTATTAGTATTACTACTTAAGAGTGCAGGATCTATAGCACCTGAGTTGAAGCCAGACATGATGATATTTAGTGATCAGTTGAGTTTGATCGAAAACTTGAAGATCACTATCGATACCGATGCTGATGCTGATGCTGATGAAGTCTGAAGTCTGAAGTCTGATGGTGATGTTGATGATGAAAATACAACTTGAATGTTAAAGTGAGCTTCTACACCACTTGTAATCCCATGACAATCACATCACATTATGGGTTTACATGATAAATCAGTCTCAAGTCGAAAGTTATCACGAAACAACAAAGAAACAAAAGCAAACCACCACCACGTCCGACTCCACGTCAACAAACATTATTCATCGACCTCATCAATATACTCTCAGCTAAACTCCTCAATCACTTACAAAATGCCATCTGACTTACGAAAACGAAACCTGACTGAACTTCCTAGAACTCTCAACAATCCACGTCCTCGATCTCCCGATGCACCTACTCATACTTCACTCAATCGACATAAACCTACCATTGCTCCTACAGTCTTCATCATCCTAGTCTTCTTTCTCACAGCTCTTCTCTTCCCAGTCTTTTATTATACTCAAGTGATGATTCCACATCCTGATTCGACTTCGATGTTATCACACTTTAAAAGGGAAGGTCATAAACTTCTTTCCGGACTCGGTCATCTTAGTCAAACTGGACCTGGTCGACAAAAGTTTGTTCCTGATCTTAAGGCTCAAAAAATAGCAGATGAAATCCAAGATTCAGAGCAAGTCGTAGAAGAAGTTGATAAACAAACCCTATTAACTGGATCGATTACGAAATCAAAAGAAGATTCAATAGATCAAATCCGTTCACTTCTTTCAGATCCAAAATTTAAATCAGGACTTAAAAAATCAAACCATCAAACTGGGTCAGATCCATCAATGTCACAGGAAGAACGTGATAAATTAGATGAACAATTAGGAAAGTTTTGGCAAGCTTCAAGTCGATATAGATCAGAAGCACAAGGAAAAGAAGAAGGACAATACGCTATTACGGGTGATGGAATATCTAAATCTAAATCTGATTCAAACAACAAAGCAGGTTCAGCAATCGATTCTTTACCTGATGCTGATCCTGATGCGAAAGAAGGTCTAACACCGGAGGTTTGGGCTGCGATTAGTGAACAACTTACTGCTGATCAATTGACGGTCATGTTGGATGCGGTTAGAACTAAGGAGATTTGAGTACGAGTTGATTATTGGAAAAGATATCATTCTAACATCGAGTCCTTTTTTGAAACTGTACGGTCTGGATCAATATTAATTATGTGGGTTTATACACTTGGTCATCATCCCTCTCTCATCACCTCTTGTCAAGAAAATAATATTTAGCTTACATATTTTGTTGATTTCAAAATATGTTTCTATATCATTTTAAAGTTCACATTCTACTTGTACTCTCTCAACTTCTCACTCATCATCAAGTGTTCGAGTTATTGATTATCTTGTTCCTCGTACACCTTATCATCAAAGACAATCATCACACCGTCAGTTTGATTTGGAAATGTTGTGAAACCTATGTCCAGTACACTGTCACGACTCACTAGCCAATCGGCTCTAGAACTGACTCACTTGAGTATATATATACAACCAAAAAAACAAACTTTGAAGAAGAGTGATGAATGCTTAGAATTAGCGAGGTTCAAGTTGGAAAAATGCCCAAAATACAACTGTCCCTAGATCAAAATTCTACTTAAAATTTTTAGATTTTGAAAACACTATCAGAATGCTCCACCTGAGAAGCACGATACTAGCATTTTATTTTTCAAAAAGAATGTATTTTGTAGAGCTGGGAGGGCAAAATGCATAAAATTTTATACACTTTTTGGCCCACTTGAACCCCGCTATTAAGGGGGCTCAAGTCAAAATTTTTGCGGCCTTTTCTTAAAAAATTGGGGAAAGTTTTTTACGGTACCGTGCTGTAAAAACTTTTCCCAATTCGTAAAAAAGGGCCGTAAAAATTTCTTTCGCATCTCCTTCTGAGCAGCAGACTTACGCAAATTTGCGTAAATTTGCTGCTCAAAAAAATTTGGGATGTCGTATAACTTTTCCCAATTGCATAAAATTTTGCGTAAATTTTATGCAATAAGGGGTTTCAAGTTTAAATCTTTTATACGAGTTTTTAAAAATTCGGTCAAGTTTTATACGACACTGTAAGATTTTAAATTTGACCGTTTATAAAAATCAAGCACATTGAATAATTACCGTCGTAAAACGAATCGAAGCGGTGAACGTATTGTTCCGAGGTTTGGCGACATTTCCTTTGAAGATAATGACGAGATGGCCTTCTTGACCAATCTCATGTTTGAAGATGTGGTCAATACCATGATTGAAAAGGTCAAATCGTTGACCGAATGATTTTTAAAAGCGTAAGTTTACGCTAATTTTAAAACGGGAGACGTAAAAAGGTCTCCCGTTTTAAAAATATTTTACGTAAAATTTACGTCTTCGTCCAAGTTTTCAAAACGTAAAAATACGGAAAAACTTGAACTTGAAACCCCTTAATTGGGAAAAGTTTTTTACCATAAAAGTAGTAAAATATTTTGACTTGAGCCCCCCTATTGAGCATGACCTGACTTTGGTGATAAATTCATTTGTAAACTCAACTCTAAAGTTCTTACTAACAAAAAATGTACTTTGAGAGTTTAGTATTCAAAGTGTTGAAATATTTTCAATGCTCACATCTCTTGTATACTCTCACAAAAGGAACAGCCAATAATTTGAAGGGCCTGTATGGATGTCATCCAAGAGGAACTATGCGTTTGTGGAGGTTTGTGGTTATATTTGATCATGACCTGTTTGCAAATCAGGATAGTTTAACAAAAATATGAAGTTAAAAATGAAATACTCAAAACTGTTTTGATCCAGAGTTTTGAATTTCCACATGTTGGTCCAGCTCGGCACCGTCCTCAAAAATGAGCTACATGTATGACCGTTAGAATTGGCGCCATGAGGGACAATTATTGCAAAATGTTTGAGACCGACATAAGAGATTTGAGGCTTGGCCCCAGCTCGAAACTCTTATGACCGGCGGGACCGAGATTCCAATGTTGCACATCAGTTTGGACGCAGAGTGTATCGTCACTCCAGGCGGCGATGAGCCAACTTCCCAGCATTGAAACATACTTTCACTTTCAAGTTCAAGTTCAATTTCTTTCTATTCGAGCCGGTACCCCTTATAGAATTCACTCAGATATCGGTGCAAGGAAATCAAGCTCGCACCCTCCGACCCACTCGCATTCTTCTCGGAATTTTAACTGGAGCCATTATTTGCTGATCTCAACTTTGCGGATATGATTTTCTATCTGTGGATATTCCTTGTGAAGTTCCGAAATGTTGGATGGTGCTGATCATGTGAGTTTGAATTAAGCGAAATGGTTGAAAATCGTTTGTCTCCTTTCGGATGAGAGATTTGGATGTGCTGGCGACGGCGTTGCCCCATCAACCTTTCCCCCGCTTGTCAAACTGTCTTGTCTCTTTTTTATATCTTTTCGATTTTTAAAAGGAATCCATCTGGACAAAACTCGAACAAAACTCATGTGATTTTAATGAGATATCCACTCCTTTGATCTCGTGAATTGTACTCTCAATCAGTTCTTACTTTCTCCAAAGGAATGCAATCCGTCTCTCGTCTTACGCCTTATCATCTTGCTGCTTGGGTAAAGCCTTCCCGGTCTTTGACCTATCTTCCTTGTTGACTTCACCTTGTCTCACACTGACAATCCTGTAGCTACCTTTCCAGCTCTCGATCGGCCCACTGGAGTTTACCCCACCAATCATCCGCCGAACTGGATGCAAGAATCAACAATTGGTAAATCTCAAGCCTTTACTGCCTCATCCTTTCATCGATGAGCAATTGTTCTTTTTATCCATCTTGACCTTACTACCTCACTGTTTCGTTATGCCGCAGTCCTGCCTTTCCCCATCTTTTTTCCGCCTAATCTTTAGGCCTTTGTGCCAAATCCTAGTCAGTCAAAATCTTAATCGAAACTCAACGCTCGTTGTTTGCTTGGTCACATCAAGCTTTTCTTAGTACAGCAGCCACCTTTGCTGTTCATTTTTCCACTGCAACGCGTGGGTTGGTCTATAGTCGTATCTTCAGAGATCTTTCTGTCTCATCATAGCGGCGTTACACTTGGGGGTTTCGATACAACTACCCAGTCCATACGAAGATCACCTCAGGAGTGTCATTTATCATCTGACCGATCCGCCCAAGCTGCATACGCATTGTCCAATTAAACAGAACGCGAATTGCCTCTTCCCCTACTTGGTTTGTTTTAACATGTCATGATGCGCTGCCTACCCATGATGAGCTTATTCATTCATCATACACAGCCACCTTTGCAGTGCCGATCGAGGCTGCTCACCAGAAATCGTTGGCAGTATTTATCATTGTATGTCGGTATTTGGTCAGATATCTTCTTTTACTCCTTTCGATGGATTCCAGTCTTCAGAAATATCTTCGTCTATATATCGATGGATTACCCGTGTTTTTCTTCCTATCGAACCCATATAGACTTCTTTCATAAATCCGATCCATCCAGAAAGGAGTATTTCTGGAATATATCAAAAGGACTTGTCTAGCACATATTTACCTCATCGGATGCCCCTCCCATTCTAGGGATGGAGCCATACTTCACGTCTTGTACATCTCAATGTCATTGAGGTCAAATAATATATGCTGGGTATCAGCGCAGTGAAGTTCGCAGTCCGCGCACCACAGAGTGCTCATGAATAATAGGTCCGGCATGGTTTTTGTGCACTACATGATCCGTATACGGGAGTTACACGGAACTTGCAGTTATTGGTCTCATCGTGCCATGAGAGCTCAACGTCGCAAGCAATGTGGGACTCTCATGTCCTCGTGGAAGCACATCAAGCAATGAACATTCACTGCAATCCTCAACTTCACACCTCGTTGAGTTGTACTCAGCATCAATGTTTCGAGGCTTATCGAATGAGCCTTTTTCATGGGACAATTCTCAACAGAATCCACTACATCCCGGTTACATCATGCCTTCATTTTTGATTTGTGCATTAAACTGACTTTGCGTCTTTCATCTTCGGTTTCAAACAGATTAGCTCAGTTTGAAACACTTACCCCATTCAACCTAAATTATTTCGACATTCTCAAGAGTATTGACCGCCGCGATTATATTCAAGCATGCGAGCAAACAACCTTTCTTTTGGGCGAGATTCAAGATCCCAATCGGGGAATACGTTGCATGGAACCAGGCATCAACTCAGCACATCTCGCGAAACATCAAAGCGCCTCATGGTCCCGGAATCGATACATGTTGGGAGGTCGACTTTTGGAACCCGGCAGACAACTGAAGCTTCACTGGCAACGGGCCCCTTCCCATCACAAGAGCTTGATTCGACATGTGTGGCTGGGCAATTCTCGGATGCTGAATCAGATGAGGACCCCGCACAGTCAGACGCCAAACGACAACGGGTAGACGACAATACACAAGTGAGTGCAACACTGATGATGGTATGTTGGAATCATCTTGCTCTTCGTTAACACGGAACTATGCTTTGACAACGGATCCTTCAGAATGCGAGACTCATACCAGGCAACACCTTGCGTCAAGACTCTAGCATGAACGGACTCGTCGTGTCCGGCATCACTGCAAGTCATTCTACGCAGTCTGTTGACACGCAGAACATTCCTTTTCCATCAAGTCAGATTTATTCCCAAGCAACGCGCGACTCATCCAACCTTGATAGCGAACCAGCCATGCCAACGGCTAGTCAAACCTTTGTGAGAAGTGCTTCTATGGTAGAATTAGACATCCAATCACATATTTATCAGACCATTTCGTAGGCACAACTCCCGTCTGCAGTCCGCCGTCTCGCAGCTCTGGTAGGGATCCCGGAATCGTCACAAGCTATCATTCAAGTAAGCCTTACTATCCGTCAAAGATTAAATGTCATGAGCTTATTGTATTTAATGATCAACCTTTTTTAGAGCACGTTACCCACGTTGTTCAAACGACCAACAAGTAGCGCATCAAGTATGGCTAACGATCGCGTGAGTCTGCACGCGATATCAACGCGTTCCATTCTCTCGCATTAAACCCATGCTTTTCTGTAGCGGTCAATCTCTGGCCTCGAGCGCCATGGTTCGAACTTGTTTGTACCGGTGAGTATCGTGGAATTCTTACTGGACTTGTCATCAAGTAAAACTGAGACAGATTTGCACACGGTACACTACAGGCTCGATCCTCTTCAGTTATCCCAGATCATTATCTACGGGCTTTGACCGAACTCCAGCCGACCACACGTATGACCAATACTCTGTCTGAGGTGCAGCGAAGAGTACTGCTGAGCTCTCTTCAAGTTCCGACTGAACCTCCGACCAAAGGCCTACAAGGCCATGTCAGTCAGAGTAGCATACATGCAGAGACAGGTACGAGTTCCTGAGTTGTTTGAACCAATCTGAAGTCGCCATCCTAACCCTGCGCTACTTCTTATCTCAACCTACGCACCAAACGTCAAGTGCCAGCCTCATATGCTCCTGCAGTTACCAGCGCACCGACAATTCCTTCAAATATTACCCATCTATCACCAGCTCTCTTGGATTCTTCTTCTTTGATATCGACGAAACCCACACTTTTACCAAGCCCCGACATTGACCCCATCTTCTCCGCCCCCAAATTCGGAGAGTCCTCGTCTGAACCAGGTGGGTTCACGATGCCGGCACGCGGGACGTTCTCAATACCTGCTCCCAGCTCGATTGGAGATTTACAAGCACTACATTGTGACTCGCCATCGGCCATCGAAGATCCAACAACTCCGCATTGTAGCCAGGGCGATCAGTTTGGTGAAAGTAGCGCCCAACCTTCGGAGATTAGCAAGCCCACTGAGAGTGTAATCGAACAGCTTACACCTTCAGAGGCGCCTAGTCAATCAACACGGAAGCGCAAATCTAGAGCATCTAAAGTCAAAGCAGAATCGCAAAACGATGAATCAGTGAATGCCGAACCAAAGGTAGAATTAGTCAAACCGCCCCCAACAATAAACGGTAAAATATCCCATGGCCGTAAAGTTCCAGTCGGGTATGTAAAGCGAACACCGAACTCTTTCATTATGTTTCGATCACATGTCATTGCCAATAAGCTGCTTCCTCCGGGCGTGGAAAATGATAACCGACAGATCTCCAGAGTCGTCTCAGGATTATGGGCTGGGCTTAGTGAAGATGACCTTCGAACATGGCAGACTGCTTCGAGGGAACTGAGAGCTGCTGCACGCGCCAAGAATCCCGAGATCAAACATCCACCAAATCAAAAACGTAAAGATATCATTAGACGAAAGAGATCTGGTCAACTTCCTGGTGAAACTCCTGAACAGCGAGTCGAAAGAGAGAAAGCACGAGCAGCAGCCCTAGCGAAAGTCATCATTGACGCACGTGGAGAGCGACTTGACAAAGACAAATTGGTTCAACTTGCTGGGATATCTTTACCCCAGCAACAGCTCGCTGGATCCTCTCGTACGCGTGACAGCTCTCGGGAAGCTAGCCGACCTGAGTTTCGTGCTCCAGCGTCACTTGGAGTTCAGCTCGATGCAATCGCCTCGAGTACACTATCTGAATGCGCTGGGTCTGTCTTGACCACCTCTCCACGTCCCAATGCCCGTGGAATGCTTTCTCCGATGCCAGAGTCAGTCAATGAAGATCTAACAGAATCAACTTTTCCGATCTTGAAACCTGGAGCCAAGAGTAAGACAAAAAGAGCTTCAAGAGCTTCAAAGTCTTCATCAACTCAACAAAAAGCCGATGGTGCCCAACCGACCCCGAAGCCTAGGTCTTCAAGGAAAGCCTCGGAATCTCGCTGCGCAAACGAGCAAACACGCGAGGAATCGGTACCTGCCCTTACGGTCGAGTCCACTACAGGCACTCAGACAACCATTTCCTCGGCATCTGCTGAACAATGTGAATCTAACAAAATAGATTTAGCCGCATTTTCAAGTATGTTTGATTGTCTGTCAGATCACATTGGATCTTCGACCTTTCCAGACTGTTTTCCGCCCGACATGTTCGAATCTCTTGGTCTTGCCACTTCGGGTCCAAGTAATGTACCTTCAACAGGTCCATCGTCTTCCGAAACAGCAAAAGATAACGTCATTGACCCCAAGATACTAAATATGTCTTCTGCTCCTGCTGTAACGGTAAACAATCAATCTACCGGTGGATTCTGGAGCAATCCAACTGAGTCGCAAGGAATGGGACCTCCTGACTCAAATTTTATGAGTTCTGGGGGCTATGCGCTCTCTGGGTCCGATCAAAATCAATCATCAGCTTTGAACGAGGGTCGACAAGATGAATTTCCATCATTTGATATGCTCTCTCAACTTGTTTCTTCAGATCACCTTGATTTAAGTCAATTCATCGGTCATCGATATGCTTCACAGCCTCAGTCCAACCTTAGCTCTACGGATTTTGATTTGAGCTCACTATATTTGGGAAATGGTAATTCATCTGATTCAACAGTCTCGCATTTACACCCATTCTCACATTCTGGAATCGCAGGTGCGGGCACAGGAACATCTTTTACGGCCTCACAAGATCACAATCCGTTTGAAAATTTACAGGCGCCCAATGATTCAGAAAGTCTTGAAAACTGGGGATGGTCACAACTTGGAAATTCTTGATGAGAACTTATCTTTTTGTTTTGCTTGCAACCGACCTTCATTTTCCGATTTTCAAATCTTCAAGCTTTTGCATACCCCGACTTTTTATCAGATGAAATTTATCAGATGAAATTATAATGTTCCTCAACTATTAAAAGCAGAAAGTTATGAATCAAATCTTCTGTATATCTCAACTATCCTCACAACCTTTGCAGACTTTTAATTTAAAATTGGTAGTGGTTTCATGGTGAAGAGATTGAAGCAACTTTCCTTGAAGAACAATGCTGTAATATATCTTATTCTTTTTCTTGCAAAACTTTTGCTCTCTTTGCTTGTTTTCATAAACTCATTTTTTCTAAAAAAAATGTTTCGAGCTTCGATAAGTCGTGTATTTCATTAGTTTCGAAAAGATGCCTGGTATTTGTCAGTTGTAGAGTCTGATGAACTGATACATTCTATTCTTATTAGACGATGTTTGTTAGGCTTTGATGTTTTTTGGTATCATTCAGACTATTGATTATTTGGGTCGTTATTGAAAATGTATGCAGTTAAGAAGACATTATGCTTGCTATGCAAACAAATCCTTTGATGTATTTCACTCGTCCAGAAAAGTGTGATGATGTGAATACCTCCCATCGCTCAAAGGACTACGGTTCAACAGACAACTGCAGTCTGATCTCGACATTTTGTTGGACGTTATGATGAGACTGGAAGTATACATATGAATCAATGATTGGTAACGCAAACCATCATCATTCAGTCCTATCAATTAGTTGAAGGTGATTATCTTCACAAAGATTATTAGTATAAATGAGAACGGAAAGTTTTACAATTTTCTTTAAGGATATGGCTGATTTGAAATCTTGACCTGAAAAAAACATTTTGAATCAAATGATCTTTTTTGCTTCTTTTTGTTCTTTGCGTACATAAATAGTTTGAAATGGATCTTTTGTGTGTCTAAGACTGAAGGACAAAGGATAAACAGAAAGCTTAGGAATGATTTGTGGAACACTTCATTCATTTAATTGAACTTGAGATACATAGTAGACACCTTCACCATCAATGAGCTTCTCCAGAGTACTCTCTGTAGGATCATCGGAGTAGAGGTAGGTATAAGGAGTACTGCTGAAACCTCGAAGGTGATCGCCCACTGTATCTGCTATTGTTACCGCTCCTTGAACAAAGGCTGAGAAAACCTTGAAGGCTGGTCCACCGGTCGCACCTACTGATTGTAGTTTTGCAAATAAGCTGCCCTTTGCAACACACCCCATCCCAGATTGTATCTGAGCAGCATAAGATTTTGCCACAACGCCTGTTGAACCCCAGCCCAAGAGATTAAGCCCGGGCACTGCAAAGGCCGATACCGTTGCGATACCAACGCCGGCGACACAAATATACTTGAGTACCTTCCAATTCGGATCTTTGGGTCCATGGTGTTATAAACGTTGGGTGAAAGAATTAGCAGCTAGATATCCAGTTAAGGTCAAACAAATAAAAAAGAGTAGTCAAAGCGTCTTACCTGCAAGAAAAGCGTGGCTGGCGAATCGGTGACTAAGGCAGGAGTATACAAACGCCCGAGGATAACGGTGACTCTGAGAATGATCTTGATCCCATCCTTCTGGCAGATTACCGGACTCGAGGTCTTGACAAATCTTTTGAATTTCGGGTGTTGGGTCAGGAGACTCCGAGTATGGCTCCTTGTTACAATGTGCCTTGAAGATATCATCAAATCTTATTAAAATATTCCCCAAGAGGTATAATTGGGGGTTGAGGTTGATTTGGTGTAGCGGATTCGATCTCGGGAGTTCTACATAAACCCAGCTTGATACAACACTATCGTTGGGAAGTTTGTGGATCTCGACAACTGGTTTTTTTTCTGTTCCAAGCACAAGGATGACGAAGGGTGTGAAGTCGGGTTGATTCTTCATTTGTTTCATGTATGATAATATGATTTCCTTCATTATTAGGCCTTTCAAAGTCACAGAATCTGAGTCTGAGACTTCTGAGATGCTTGGGGAGATAATAACTGTCCAGAGACTGAGTCTATGAGGATCCCTGCTACATATCACAAAAAAAATCGGGGAAAGATTCAGTAGGCTCAATTATAAAAACGTTCATCAGGCGAAGAAACTTGTGAGGATTTTTTTACATCCGGTTCGATTTGCCAGCCATCATGCTCATCAAGTGTTCGATTATATATTCCAGCTTGGAACAGAAGGACAAGAAAACCGCAATTGGTTGAACATGAGTCAATGAAAATTTCATTAAAATTTTATCAGCCAAGAAAACTGCAACTTGAAGGACCAAGGGGAAAATGATACCAGTAGGTTTGGTTCTGATGAGAAAGGTATGCTTTGTATAACAAGCTATGGTTCAGGAATGATATGGAAAGCAAGGTTGACAAACAATCTTATGTAAATGACTTGCATGAGATCTCTTAGAAGCAGCTCTACTACGTGATGAGAAGGCCAGAGAAGGCAACATAGTTGGGGTGAAATATCCTGCTTGCGTATTTTGGGTGGGGAAATTCACTTCAACTGAAGATTAGCTGGTTCCGCGGGCACTGTGTTCCGTCAAAGGATCGATATACAGATCAAGCTTGAGCAGCCGTAAGATGGTTTGAAAGAAGGCATCAGATCGAGAACTTTTGTTTCAAAACCTCGTTGCAATACGTTCACAAGTTTCCCTCGGGTTTTTCTGATAACCCTTTGTCATGAGACATACAAAGGCCCCTTTCAGACCGACAAATGTCTTTCATAGTACATTCCCTGTCCTCGCTATTTACGCTGGCCATAGACATGCCTTCAAGAATGTTTGGCAAATCCAGATTTGATGACTGTGGCATCCTTAAATCCAATGGAGTCAGGATGGCAAAGGAGCCTGACCAGGGATGCAGGTTTGAGCATGAGCATACCGTGCTCACGCTCACTCTGCCGGTTTCTTGGCCCCGTGGGCGAGTCTGTACTCCCGATCGGAACATACATGTGAGTACAGTAACATGTAGTACTCACATGTTTGGGTCCGATTAAGCCCTTGTACTCAAGGGCACAACCACCTCCGCGCCTCCTACTCATACATCGATCCAACCCGCGCGCACCTTGTTTGGATGAGTACACTCATCCAAACAAGGTGATATCCGATTATCGATCTCCTCAATCAAGTTTCCACCATCACGCCATCGAATGCTGTTCAACAATTTCCTTTTATCAGCTCCGTCCACTCTTTACTCGATTTTCGTTCATAACTTCAGCCTCAAGATCATTTCATTCTCCCTATTTGAACTTCCCTAAACGGCTAGTCAAGCCTCAAAGTACTATCACTTTGGTCTTCATACCGCTTTGGATCTAATTTTGCTTTCTTGGTTTCATGGGCCAAGAGTCTTTAGGTAGCCACATTGTCTTGTGGCTCCCTGCGATGGCGTGGGTCAACCTCGATATGAAGGGTATTGGCGACCTCGAATGGTCCTCGGATCCACGGTAAGTCTCTTCCCTCCCTCCTATATATACGTGTCCCATTGTTCACGCTCCCCGTTTATTTCCCTTGGCCTCATTCCGCTTTGATTCACCTCTGTCCCCTTCTTTGCATCTTATCACCAGTCCGTTCCAATACTTCGACAGCGCAATGCCGAAAGCTCCAACAAAAACCACCCCAAATCAATCCCCTTACGCGCGTCGAGGTATGACGCCGGCTGCTTCCACTCCTTGTGTTACGTCTGCGTCTATGAATCGAGTAACTTTGACTAGCCGTCCAGGAAGCGGCACTGGAGTGTTGTCCCTGTCCCAAAACACACGCATCGCGATTAACGATGACGAAGAGGGCGATGACACCGTTGCAAACGCAGGCAAACACTGTTCAGATGTGTACCTTTATTATGATGTAAGCATTTCAATGATTATCTCAGTTACGTATCCAATCAGAACCTTATGAATTTTGAATTTGTTGTATCAGGACCCTAAAGCTTTGCCTGACGCGGCCAACGGCGATCACTCAAAGTGGTACTCCTGCCTCCATTGTCCGTAAGTACTTGAACCTGGTCTTTCCCATTTCAGTCACATGATCTTTACTGAGTATGCGATTTCACAGGATGGACGTCCAGATCACTGGACGTCCCAACTCAGGTCTACACAAACACTGTCGCAAGTGTCCCGGCCTACCCAATGCCTGGATGAATCGCCTGCCAGGCAGTATCGCCCCCAACGAGGACCCTGGTGTCGCTGCTGAACGATACAAGCAGCTTTGAACTCTGCTCGTCGGGGCGGTTATCAGCAAGAATCTGCCGTTCTCAATATTCAAAGGTGAATTGATGCAGTCGGCCCTGCGCGCTATTTGCTCTGGTTTTTGATTTCCAGGTCGCATGTCAATTAAGGCCGACTCCGAAGCTCTTTTCTTGGACTTGGAAAAGAAACTAATTGCCGAGATCGCGCGAGTCCCTGGTTCAATATTGACGGCAACCGACTGCTGGACTTCGGCTGATTTTTCTCACACTTACATGGCAATCAACGGGTTTTTCTTTAACTCTCAGGGTCTTTTCTGTTGTCGACTGCTCGCATTCAAGGTACGTCCAATTTCTATATACAGCGTTGGACTTTTCATGAGTGCTAATATTTGTTTTCATGGGTCGTATGCCAGACTTTGGCTGGGAACCACACAGGCGAAAAGTTGGCCCAGGTCTATTGGGAGTCCCTCGAACACGTTGGGGCATTGCGAAACCATTTCTCCGTGACGGGAGACAACGCCTCTTCTAATCGTGCTATGGTTTGAATTTTGGGAGACCGATACAGGGACATAGGCATCCATTGGCCCTTTGATTCTCGCTTCCATGGGTGTATGTGTCATGTCATCAACCTCGTCGCGAAGGACTTTCTGGAAGGAATGGGAGAGTTAACTGACGCCGATATCCAAGCTTATGAGACCACGGGATTGGCCGAACCTCAAGCGACTTTCGAGCCTGACGAACTCCCAATGACGGATGACGATGCTCCAGGCGCTGGTACTTCAATCGATCAATCATCTCAAGACGTTCACGGTGCCACTCAAAACGATTATCAAGTCTTTGATTTTACTCAGGAGCCATTTGCCGAAACCGTCAGTGACCAGCCCCCCTCTGCGCCTGGCGGCAATCAAAAGAAGAAATCGACTGTGGTGAGCCGTATCCGAGCGTTGGATACACACATACGCAAGAGTCCCTTAGAACTCAAGTGTTACATCACGATTCGTGATAGCGTCGGAGACCCTGCTCTACTTCCTCTTAGCTGCCCTACGACTCGATGGAATTACTTTTATTACGTGGTAAGTAATTTAAAACTCTCCCAATTACCAAGTTCAACGCCCAAATTGACCATGTTTCCTTTCTGGAATTTGTCAGGTCCAACACACTCTAGCGCTGAAGAAGTCAATTCAACTTTACACTTCTTCAGACCCTAAACAAGCCAAATTCACCATCTCTCAATCAGACTGGGCATTGATCGAATACATGCGACCAGTCCTCAAAATGTTTGAGTCCGCGACCCAAGTTTTCCAGTCGAACGAACCCACCAAGCAATGGGTCCTGCCGACTATGTGGGCTCTTCAGAAGGTACTGCGGAAGCACCAGAACGTCCCTGGTGCTTGGGGCCGCGCTTGCAAACGCGCGGAAGACAAGTTGGTGAAGGATATGGAACGTGAGGAGTCGAATGTTCAGACCTTGGTGGCCACCGTCCTTGATCCCTACAATCACGATTCTGTCTTTCGCGATCATGAAGAAGTCGAAGCTCATGCGAAGAAGTACCTCCGTGAAGAATATGACCTCTGGAAGCCCAGCCCTACCGAAAGTGCCCGTGACAAAGGACCACCACCTCCAGCTGACTGCCGCCCTGTAGCCAGCAAACTTCAGGCGATTTACTCCTTGTTGGGCAGCCAATCGAATGCCCCAATCAATGATTCCACCCAAGAACTGGATGAAGTCTACCGTTACTGTTCTGGAAAGGAGCCGCTCCTGCCTGATGAGAGTGTGGGACAATACTGGACGGTAAGTTTTCATCTCTTGTATATAACGTATCTGACATGTGCATTTCCTGACTTCGCCCTATGTTTCAGCGTATGGCCAAGCCTGGCGCGCTTCCTACTTTAGCAGAAATTGCTCTCCAGCACCTCACCATTCCAGCCTCTGGTGCCTCAGTGGAGCGAGTTTTTTCGATATCCGGAAATATAGCAGTGCCTTCCAGAGGCTGTCTCCACACCGACATCATCTGTCATCTTGTGCTAATCCGGCACTGGCTCACCAATGATGATGCTTCGATGGATTTAGAGGAGTAAATGTGGCGGCCTTTCAATCTTAACTGTTCTCCGAATACAAATCAAAAACCCCTTTTAAGAAAAATCCTCCCAGCCTTATATTATACAACTTATGAAATGATTCGTAAATACATTTGTGATGAGCAATAAATATGATGAGCAATAAATAAATGATTGCCTGTGGTTGATGTTTCCATTTACAACACGTTGGTGGTACAGTGAGAGTGAGCAAGCCATGGAAAAAACCCAATTTGATGCCCCTTGATGTTCAAGGGGCATCAAAATCCCCGCCGGTGTGTGAGTGCTCATATGAGTAATGAGTCCTCGCACACCGAGGACTTATCCTCCTGCTCACTCAAAGCAGAACTATATGTGAGTCTGGAAACTGACTGAGTTGTGCCATTGGCCAAAGACTCGCGGACAAGCCCGTTTTGAGTCCCGTCCTCAAGGCACGTCTAACCCTAGGTACAGTTAGAGTTTTGTACTCTAACTCTCCGTAGATGAGTCGGTACTCAAAATGAGTCCCTCGGACCCCGCATCCAGATTGTGAGCATGAGTTGCTCAAACCTGCATCCCTGAGCCTGACCGGAGGTGCGGACCTTCGGGAGGACGGCGAGTGTCAGCCCAGGGGCGCCCACGCTGACACTCTCCACCAGCCTAAACCCATCACTGATGGCTTTACACAGTATGTCAACCTCCATCACCCCAGCATGTAACCACCCTTGCCATTCCACACAAGACTTGTGAAATCAAGTTACAATTTTCACCAGCCCCCCACCTGAATATGTGTACCACCCAATTAAACCCGACATTACCTACACAGCCTACACAGCGCCATTTGACTCTCCCCATCCTCCACACTCACTCACCATGTTGCTCAAGTTGTTCGCTGAGAAGCTCTCATCAGAGACGCCAGAACTTTATACAATGTTGGATCTATCCGATATCATATGTTTTACGACTCTCGCCGCCGAGGTATACGCTTGCTCTGAAGGAGCATGGAATTTGTCACTCAAAAATCCACGAGACATTGTACCATTTCTACGCAAAGCACTTGGTCTATCACTCCCTTATCACCACTGCTGCCATCTGTGGGACATCCTCTTTCCAATGTTATCCAACTCGCGAACTCAACCATCTCTTCTAATTCAAGAACACGGCCCTCAGGAAGATATCCCAGTCCAAATCCCTGAACTATTCCTTTCTCCGCCAATGAAGCATTGCTTGGTCTGTTCCACGTCTTCAACCACGGTCAAATTGCAACATTGCTCGCAAATCAACGGTTACCTTGATATTGATGGTGTCCACTTGGCTAGGATTTACACAATGAAATGCCCAAGTAAGCTTGCCTTCCTTTATATTCCACTCTATATGCAACTGATCAAGACTGTCTTCTACCACCCAGAGTGCACCACATATTATCGCCCCAGCTACTACTTGTCTGGTAGTGACAAAATCCACAATTGCTACTCTGCCACGGATGCACGTCATAAAGACATATCTCAAGTATCATGCCACTTCTTCATGACACATCAATTGGCCGAGTTCTTTCGTACCAGACAATCACTTGCTCAGTAGGTGACTGGTTATTGTAATCGGCCTGTTGTGCTTGCCGTCAGCTGATGATGCTGCCTATTGATCTCTTCCTTGCTTGTGATTTCTCTCTCAGCATCTCTCACTTCAACCTCGCCAACTGGTTCAATCAGAGTTTTGTCGACGACAAAACTATCCCCGAGCTACAAGGAGCACCCAAAGTCCAGCCGTTGTAGAACTTATAACCCAACAAGGGTTATACAGAGCTGGAAGAGGATAATCTACTAATAAAATGACTAGTAGAAGTTGTCTAAGGACTGCTCTTCTAAAACAACACAATCAGAAAGAGCTCTGTTGTATTGAGTACTGATAAGGCACCAGAGAAATATAACTTCACACGTAATTTTAACTTCAAAAGCACACTTTGTATTACTATCAACACTGCTATAGTGTTATTCCCAATTGATAACTGAAAAAAAATAAGCAATATCTGATTGATATTATTCCCAATAAGTCTTTATGACTATAAAACTAAAGTAAATTTCTCTTTACACAGGGTCCAAATTTTGCACTCACGACGTGTTAGCAAAGCTTTTTCCAAGATTGTGTCAAGATTGTTGTATGTTTGGTGCCAGGCTACACTTTGTGCAGCTTTGGAACACACTCTTTACACCTGGTTGGTGTTGAGCGAAGTCAATCTACAAATAATCAGTATGAGTAATACCTATCTTGATACCAAACATGTATGATTCCTTTGCTAATGTGTCGTGAGTATAAAATTTGGACCCTGTGTTATAACTGTAATAAAGGGCGTATTTAAGTGAACAGGTACTATTAAAATAAGTTTATGATGATAAACAAAATAATAATGGCGTAAATGATAAAGAAAAAAAGGGGAACAACAGTCCCAAAACCCTCTCAAAGTATATATAACAATGTACTAGAACTTTTACAATGGTCAACAGCCTCAAAACCAATCAAATCCGCCCAAAATTCCCTAAAAACCCTATGATGACGCAATGTAATGGTTTTGTTACTAATAAATGATGTAATTTTCACAGCTAAAAGTGATCAATGACGCAATAATATGATGTACAGCACTTCTTATGATGAATACAGGTGATTTTTTTCTTGTAAACTAGCTGAAAACCAATTTTTGAGATTACGAATTTTTTCAGATGTGCTCCAATTTTTGATTACTAAAGTGCATCTTGTAGCCCACGTGTTACTGATCATTTCTGACACCTACATGACCTACTTCTGATGAGTGATGAGTAAGATATTGAGTTGTGAAGTTAAGGTTTTTAGTGTTACATATGACTTGTGACTGTAAATTCGAGATTCACACCAATTCTTTATTTGCCTGATAACTTTTTACACACACCTCCGTTACTAATGATTTAAAGTTTGTACATTATGTAATCCACTCTTCTGCGTTGAATGAGCCATCTACCAACCTATTCTGACGTCATTTGACATATGTAATTAGCTGAAAACCTCCATTTTCCACGAATTTCACCCATTTTCTTCACTTTTCACAGCTACTACTATCTTTTTCTTGCTCATGTAATATGACATCATCATCTATAGCCTTAAAAATCCCGGAAAATCCTCTTGGCAACCTTAAATTCCATCACTACCACTATTACACAACCAAACTACACGTGTACCTCTTGTTTACCAACTTCGAAAAAGTGCTTTTTTCCTAATAACTTCTGTTTCTACTTATCAACCTTGAAGATTAAAATTGTCATAGTATCATATAATGTTGTTCTTTCATATTCTAACCTCATAATACCCATAACTTTATTTTTACTAACCTAAAAACCATTTTCCAACCTTTATACCTATAATTTCGAATTTTTCTTATGTTTTTCTTTCTTTCTTTTTGTAATAAATTTGTAAGTAAACTATAATGATCTTAATATATAATGTGAAATAAAATGATGTAATGTTGACCTAATGACCAATACATAAGCCTACAAGAGCTTCAATTGATCAAAAACCTCCATTTCGAATTTTCTTTCCTGCTGAATCCTGCTAATAAACTGGTAAACTGGTAATTGTGAATTTTTTAATTGATCCCATAAATTGATCACCACACCGTTCATGTCAGAATCAACTTGCACCGACGGACTAGACATACATAGTCTTCTTCGGCGAGCAGACTCGGCACGCACCAACGTCTTTGTGGACTCTTCCTGCTATGGCGAAAGCCGCTATCACGATGCAATGAAAAGGGTATTGGAAAGGATAGCTCTTGAAGGGACCAAGCATTGTAACCACGTGTGCTCGGCGTGCGTTCGGCTGGTCGCGCAGCCACCACAGGACGATGGAGAAAATAAAGAAAAAAAACCAAATTTGCATGTACATTGTCATTATCATCTTATCTCATTTTATTTCAGTTTTTCAGTTTCTGATTCTTATATAATTAGCTCTCTTAGATATTTGTGCTGTGGTGATCGACGGTATCACTATAGGACACTGGAGATGCTCAGCAACATTGGAACAGCTTTGTGAACTGGCAAACACTGACGGTTTGCCACCCCCACAAGGTCCTTGCACCTCCCAACTTACTCAGGTGAAAGACTGATTTTGGGCAGAACACCAAAAACAATTGGGTCATCTTTGCCTGGCCCAGCCTTGCATGAATGAGACGGTCGACGGTACTGCGACCTGTCATATCAAAGAACATGCCTTAGCATATCAGAAATTCAAAAGTCGTGTCACTGGCAACTTCGCACTTACCTCGATGCTCAACAGACCTGGGTCGAATCGCCCTTTGGACCCCACTGTCCACCAACACTGGAAAACTGCGGAGATGGTGAATCTTGATGACGTTCAACAAGCTGATGAAGAGAAAAGGCAACACAAGCAGGCTCGCAAGGGCAAAGATGCCCCACAGAAGCACGGTAAAAAAATTGTCTTTCTCGTAAGCAAACACACAACGACCAGCTTGTAGTGGGCACCTGTGGAGTCATACTTGGAAGAGAGACATTCTTCCATTCTGAGAGCTTGAGCGCGGTTCAGGTACGTCTTTCCCTCCTAAGCAATGCCCATTATCGAAATTCTCACCCACGATTGGTTGTTTGTTTCTCAGGCATTCCTACTGCGTACCTTCCCACAAAAGATGCTGCAGGTGTGCTTCTATGACAGCTCTTGCAAGCTTGTCAATCACATCTACCACGGTGAGGAAGAAGACTACACACCCTTCATGAAGACAGTTTTCCCCGTGGATCCCTTCCACTTCCGTGGTCACAAGGCCAGCGATGAATTCTGCCAACACTACACCAATCCCAAACTATTCCCTGAACTTCAAGAGGATGGCAAATGGATTTTTAACTCATCAGCCGCTGAGATGACAAACATCTGGTATGGTGGTTTTGCTTAAATGGCGAGAAGCATGTCCGCTGTCCCTTTCAATTTTTTTATGGAAGAAATGGTAGAGCGAAGGAATAACTGGATGATTCATAGGCACGTAAGAGGGAGACTATTTCATTCTTGGGTGACATGTTGTTGTAGTATAAATATGATTTTGTTATTTCATTTTATCCCTTGTCACATGTGTGTACAATCAACCTTTAAAAAAGTGTGCTCTTCTTTCTCAAAAAATAAGTGTCACTTCCCACAGATACAGATAGCGCACAATGGAATTTCGAAAGTATTGCAAAATTGAGCGCAAAAAGCGTAGATATACACCAAAAAAAGACATCCTTACATCACGAGAACAATCTTGGCTCTCACTCATTTATTGGATTCTTCTTAGTGTCAAGTACTTAAGTTATGATTATTATTTCAAGAATTAATGAAAAGGCTACATTAAAATTCACCAGTCTTCCTGTGATGCAAACACTTTCTTTGGATGAACTGTTGGAAACAAAATGCCCTGTTGGTGACAAAACTTTCTGCATATGTGCTCCTGAGGGAAGTTCCGAACCAAACTGCGACCAAAATTACCTATGGTCCATGGACGCCTGTCTCAAAGTTAACAAATAGAAGCAACTGCTTGTCAGTGCCCTTTTGCATGATAGATGTAGACTGCTCTCCCTCACTTCACATCATGGATCACAGCTTTGGTGATGATGGTCCCAACGCACTGAACACTGCCAATAATGCTAGTCCTCCCGCTTGCTTCATAAGACCAATGCAAGAAGGCTTCAAGTAACAAGCGCTTCGGGCACCCTAGATGCTCCGGGGCTGGACCCTTGAACGAACTATCAGAAGTTAACTTTTCGCCCGGGCCGCAGATGAACTCTTCCAACGTGAACACTTCAAGATGCGGGTGGGCAGCTGGCGGTTCATTTGGCCTCTGGAGTAGCCCAATCAGGTTTTCCTGGAACTGTAGAGAGCCGCAGAGTTAAGTTGCATACAAAATGTATAATACAAGAAAGCACACGGACTCACAAGCCCTTGATTGTATCACGTTCCTATGCGGTGAAGCCTTGCCGTCCCAAAAGGCTGAGTAGATGAGCACGAAACCGCGCAGGGTAAGTCGCAACATGGAAGTTGCACTGTGCAATTCCCTTGTATATGGACAAATCGCGAGGGAAGTCATCAAAGAACCGTACCCCAACAGAGATTCTGCAGTTGTTGCGTTCTAGAGTGCCTTCATACATTGCACGACAGTCCCATGTATTCACCAGTTTTCGGCTGACAGAGAGTTGAGCTGGCTTGCTCACAAAGCCCCATGTCGGGGAGGGGGGACTTTGATCACAAGTAAGTCCAAATACAGTGACGTTTGAATGGGACATAGAGGTCGCTGGGCTGAACTCCAATATCAGAAGAGTCACATCGCCAAGGTTGGGGGTATCCAAGGCTGGAGCACTCGCTAACAAAAGATTCTCTTTGGCAGTGCAGAGTAGTAGATGATATGTCAGGATGACACAAAAACAACGAATATACGCGAGGTTTGGTTTGAACATACCCAGTCCACAAAGTGAGGGCAGAGTGATATCATTGGACTCTATCTCCAGTATGACGGCTTTAGCTTTCTCCCGATTCTTCGTCATGCGGACAAAGATTGATTCCAGTTGATCATCAACCATTGAATTTTGAGTGTCGCCTTCAGCATTTGGGGTCTTATGTGACTCTAGTACAGCAGCTTTTTCCCTTTTGTCAGCTTTCTCCCGGTTGTTCATCATCCAAACAAAGATTGATTTGCCGGTATCAGCCAGATTACTAGGCATCATTTCGCTTGAGATTGAAACGTCCAACACAGCGCATTCGTGAGCACGCAGTTCAACCATGGTAAGAACATAACCAATCAAGAATAGAAATGGGAGTGCGTGGTATCCGTTTCAGACTTACCTGAGCTATAACACCACTTGGAAATGAGAAGTTGGAGAAAGAGAAGGGGAAGCGCGATGAGCAAGAAAAAAAACAAGTAAAGGTGAACGTTGCAAGAAGCAAGGGGTGTAGAGTAAATTAGTCTGCACTTTCTCAATCTCAACGCGTACAAACGAGAATACCCCTTGATGAAAATAGTATAAAAAATATTTGGCCCTACAAGCCTATGATTTCATTGCATAGCTCCCACAAAAAACATTCTTTTCTTGCTTTTGACCAAAAAGTTTAGCGTCTTCAAAAGCACTAAATGAATGCTACAAAGTTTGGGGCAGCAACATGACAATTAAAACATTTAAGAGACACCAAAACGCGATTTTGAATTACATAATGACAAGCTGAGTCGCTTCACCATCCTTCCGACTGCCGTTTGTAGGGACTGGTCACCTGTGAAGTAAAAAGAAAGTGTTGCATTCCTGTTACATGATTTTTGGGAGGAAATCACTAATAAAAGCACGTATTTTACAGATAGTACAGAATGGGTCAGTCCAAAACAGATAGGAAGACACTTTGATGAATTAATGTAATGTAAAAGTTATTCACCCCTTTTTCTTTTATGAGGTAATCCAATTGTTTGAGCTGCTGGGGCTGATTGGGTAGTCTGATCATTGGCGGAGTTTTCTTTTGCGGATTTTGGACATCCAGCAAGATGGAACTCATGGTGGAAGTGGTCGCGCGCTGCAAGAATAGATACTGGCTTGCCGGCAGTGCGCTGCTCCACTTCCCATGGGTCTAGTTTCCCGTCTTTCATCAACCCAGCCATCCATCAACCATAGCAATGTATTGTGCTTTCAACTTGTTTAGATTGATTGCCAAATGACACTTTCCATGCTTGCATCCGATTTAGCTTAGTGGTACGTGTCAGGTTGATCCACACCTTCAAGTCTTGCACAGGGGCCTCAAGTACTGGCCAGCAAGCTTGGACGTGTGGATTAAAGGTTTGCTGCTGTACATGTGGAATGACAGGCTGCTATTGACATTGGTTGATAAGCAATCATAGCGCAAAAATGGCTGATTACACATAGAAGGAAGACTTACTTTGGGTTGGGGTTGGGATGCGACAGAAGTGGCGCCAGTTACCCTTGCGCCTGGTTGAGATAACATTGGGCTTGGTGGAGGTGGTTGTGAAACTGAAGGCACAGGTTGTGAGATCAATTTGCCAACATAATTAACTTTGTCTTCACGTTTGCTGTCTTCATCTTCACGCGGTGCAGGTGGCGAAGCGTCAATTCCACTGGTCTCACTGGTACTCGCTACACAGGGGCAAGAGGGGCTTGGAGGGTTGGAGGCAGTGGGGTCATCACTCGTGTAAGTGGAATAGAGGAACCAATTGAGCCGGGGGCAGTTATCTGATTCAATACCCTGAAGTTTGACGAAAATGCTGCGTGGATGAGGTGGCGGGCAATCAGGTAGGTGGACAGGAAGGGCACACTGAGAGGACCACTTTGGTCAGCATATCAACGTCAGATTGACACAGACACTCATTACCACTCACCCAACCTTTGAACTTTGGGCACCATATGTCCAGTGTTTGTGACCATTAGCCCACAGATAGTCCTTCTGCAAGTGCGGCGTCCTCAATCAACTTGGAGCACTGCATCAGAGAAAAAACTTGCCACTTGGGGGCGAGAAAGGTGATCAACCTAGGATCCTCGTCTGCCTAAAATGTTATTCACATTTCAGGGTGATATTGGAGTAATTTGATGATCGATCAGCACAATATTTCTACAGAATATGTGTAAACTGACATACTTTGAGCCAAGCAATAACATTAACGACATTGTTCTCGTTGGCCTCAATCTGTTTGATGGTTGACATCTCTTGATCTCGCTGGTAACACATTTCAATAAAGCCAGCAAGTTGTTGAGCGGTGCATGTATGAGCAATTCGACCACCGGTCTGCACGCTTTGGTGAGGAAGCTTGGTGTGAGTTGAGAGAGTTGAGGTGGGCTGGGACCGAGATGTTGCAGGTGGTTGCGGTGCGGATCTATTCATGAATGGGTGAGGCATCTCGGGTTCAGCGGGTGGGGCCTGTTCAGGTGCAGGATTGTTGTGGCGTTTAGCTGTACATTGTTGAACCCCGTGCGTTTTGCAACACTAGATCGGATTGTGATGAATGGACAAAAAAATGAGCGGGTGCCAAATGATGAAGAAGTGATGACAGTGGAATGGAATGGCAACTTACAGAGGAACGTGCTTTGTAAACACATTGCATATTTCCTGGACGGGGTTTGTCAATTCAATGTGAGGCAGTCTTACCCTCCACACCAGTGCACAATACTCCTCCTTGCTTTGTCGTTGATTGACCAGAACCAGAGGAACCTTGGGATGAGGTAGAAGCGAGGAGGTGATTAAATTGCTTCTGACTTGGAGCTGTGGTTGGTCAACGTGGCACTTTTGAAGGTGCCTTTGAGGGTTGAGGGAAGGGAACCACAGGCCAGTGACCGGCATTCGTCATCGCGATCTCATATACGAGCTGGGGAAGTGCCCAAGTCCAATAAAAGTGACCTCTGGGCTTAGGTTGACCTGGTTGCTGAGGGGGTAGAGTAATCCCACACTTTAAGTAGATGGATGATGACATCATTAGCAACTGCGTTGAAGCTGACAACTAAAAAAAGGACCTACCGCCACGGTCCACATAGAATTTTTCACGCAAATGTACTTCATAGGCGTCATGAGTCCTAAAGCAAGACATGGAGGGCAGTAAAATCCTGCCAAATCAAAAGCTTTGGTCGGAAGTTTGATGGGTTGGGAGGGATCGACACGTACAAAGGTTGACTTGAAGTATTGATCGTCGTCCTGGGCGTCCTCCATAGCGGTGTGGGTTAGGATATGGTATGGCAGTGGTGGTGGTGATAGATGAAGCAAGGGGTGGTTGGTGAATCACGTCAACTCAAGTATGCGGATACCTCCAAGTTCCCGAGAAACAAGGGCCGGGTTGTGGGAGATGTCTGCAGGGATGTGACGCAAACAAAAGGGAGTGGTAATATTGAAGGTAGTATTTCACGGCGGGTGAAAGGGTAGGTGGAAAGCCGTGAAAGGTGTGAGTGTCAGGCGTTGACACTCCGCTCGTGGTCCTCCCAATTGTCTGGTGTTCCCAGCCTGACCCGTCCTTGGCCCGTCAGCCCATGTGATTACAGCTTGAGGGAAACTTGTGAAGGTATTGTGAACTTAATGTGAACTAGATCCGTGATTGAGACAAGTTACGGACTTGGACACCACATTTCTGCTCAATCGGGTTTTGAACTCAATAATTCCCACAGTGTGATAAGAATAAAGAGATCAAGATTGATAAGAAACTTTTGGATGAGCTAGGGTTCTGGTTGGTTTTTAGCTTAACAAAGCCCTCTCTGCGCGGCCACGTCCGCGCGCCTTGCAGAGGGGCTTACAACTAATTGTTGATTTTTGGCGTGAACACTCCAAGCGTTAAGTGTCCTTATGTTGTTTTTTTGAATTTGACGCTTCCCTCACTAACAAACATTGCTTTACCCTGCAGGGAAAGTGGTTTGTAAATGCTTTCTACATGTCCTCATGGCCTAACACCATGGATACTCTGAGTGATGCGGCCACAAAAGAGGTTTGAAGATTTTCACTAATCCCGCCTGTACAGCGGGCTTTTGGGTTAATTTTTAACTTTCAGACATAAAGAATTCCTTGAAAACACTTAAAGTGTGAATACAAGCCGTGAGTTATGTTACTAGTGAGACATAAGGGCTTCACAATCAAGCTCAAAAAAAGCATGATGAAGCAGGTTTTCCCAGATGATGAATAGATGAAAATATGTAGACAACATTGGTGAACCAATTTCCCTGCAGGGTGAAGTGGTGTTTGTTTGCAAGGGAAGCGTTGAAATGCAAAAAACAACATAAGGACACTTAACACTTGGAGTGTTCATGCCAAAAATCGACAATTAGTCGTAAGCCCCTCTGTGAGGCGCGCGGATGTGGCCGCGCAGAGAGGGCTTTGTTAAGCTAAGGTTGATTTGATGTTTTGTTTTTGGTTTGGTTTTTGGATTGGTTTTTGGTTTAGGTTTCTGAATAAATCAAATGAAAGAAAAAAGTTGATTAGGAAAATCAGATTTTTGATTGATTTGAAAGGTTTCAGATTTGATGGATCAGAATATAGATTTTTTTCATGATCATCTTGGTCTGTTGGGATGGATGAAATGTGGCTGTAGAATTCAAATTTGAGTTGATGATAGTAGGATGCAAGAGTTTGATTTTCTTAGTAGGTGAACTTGGAACCTGTTGGAGAAAAACAAAGAATACAAAAGTTAACCTAACAATCAAGTTTGATTGATTGATGTTAAGTTAGAGTTACCTGTGTAGAATAAGTTTGATGACTACAAATGATGATGATTGCAAATGTATGCAAAAGTGATTGGATTAGTTTGATTGAAGATAATTCAACTTTGAAAGGAAAGACTTACATTGGTTGCGGTTCAGGTTGAGATTGAGATTGAGGAGTAGATTGGGATTGCTTTGAAGGAGAACAAGATTGATGAGTAAATTGAACTTTGATTTTGTTTTTTTTTATTCAAAGAGTTTAATGAGATTGAATGCTTTTGATCATCAGTTTGATTTGAATTTGTGGATTGGTTTGATGATGGTGGTAATGGTGGTGGTGGTCCTGTGGTAGTTGGGAAATGAATTATGACTGGCCAGCCAAGTCAAAGCTGTCATTGGCAGTGTTCACCATCATAAGAGTCAGAAAGATTAAGCACTCAAAACTATCAAATTTTCAACCAGGGGAGAGGTTTTGTCCGTTTTGTTCAAATTGATAGTTATCCTTTAATGTTTATGATGATGTTTATGATTGATGATGATATGATGATGATGATGATCAACACCGGGTAAGCAACGCTCACCAATGCTGTTGTGCGACACGGCGTTGCGGTTTCCAGACAGAGCTGCGCTGCTGTGCAGTGTAGCACGTTGGGTATGAGACCCTGCAGAGCTTCCTACAGTCGTAAAAATAAGTTTTTTTTTAAGAGAAACGCAGACGCCTCTGTAGCACAGCAGACTGCAAATGTTGCGGGTGTTGCGGGGCCATGAAAGTCATTCATTCTGTTGACAAATTTACCCCACACAATCATTCCTAACCCTCTCTTATACTACACAAATCAATTTGGACACAATATTGACACATCTGGACAATTTTCAATGGCCGTGGTTAAGTACTGGAACACCGGAGATCAAAAGTCTATACCCTAATTCAGATCGGACTTGAACAAACAACCTTCTCTCCAGACATTTGGAACTTGAAGGCCTCCCAATTTGTGTTTTGCTTTTTTATCCCTTGCTTTTGTTTCATATAACCGTCTTACTGATATAACCTTCATTCATTTTTTTATTCCAAAAAGATGCCTATCACCATCTTACCAATATAATTTCCTTTCAACTCTCTTTAATAAATCACTTCCTGACTTGTTTTTTGGTTTGTCAAACAGCTCGATCTAAAATGATAAAGAAATTAAAAGAACACAATATTTAAAGAGCTGCCAAAGAAATAAAAATGAAGTCAGTGAATTTGAACAAGACATTGCAAGTCTGAAACAAGAAAACAGATGTATGTAAGTTGGATCGACTTCAAAACTAACCTTTTTAACCTTCTTATAAGCTCAAAAAGGTTTTAAGATCAATCTGACATAAACTATTTGGTTTTTTGATTTTGAATGATAGGGTTGAGAGTTTTGATTGTTAAACAAGGCATTGAGAAGGGTTTGGCTAAGTACAAGCCATAGGTATAACCATGACTTGACCATGACTCGATTTTTGCTTACATTTTTTGAATTTTCTTTTTGGTTTTTTCCCCACTCTTTTTTATATTTGACTAGTGTTTTAAAAAAATTCAATCCAATTCATAACTGCTTTTGGTATCTGTTTATTCAACTTGTTTTTCATATTTTTATCTATTTCACAAATATTCTTAAGATTTGTTTATTCCCATCAATACCATTGAACATTTGTGTTCTTGGTAACACTTGTTTTAGTGAGTTGCGTTGCTGTTGGGCCTGTTGCGCAGCGTCAAAAAGCAACCCTGACATGTGACGTAGCGTTGCTCTTTGGTTTTGAAGCCTGCTACGCTACCGGACTTCAAAAAAATCAGTTTTTTTTTTGGATCAACACTGCACTGGATGTGCTTGTTGCGGTGCGCAGTGTTGCTTACCCAGTGTTGTGATGATGATGATGATGATGATGATGATGATAACATCACACATTATTAGAATAGAACCCCAAAACATAAAACATATGTTTCTTCCAGCACATAGAGACAACAATAGGGCGGTTCAAGAAGGGCTTTTACAGCCTTTTTTTAAATTTTAGATCTGATTTGGGACGCTTAAATTGTAAGTAAAATTTTAAGTTTGTGGACCACCTCTAGAGGTGGTTCACTGTTTTGCAATCTCCCAAACTGACTTGAAATTTCTGAAGCATTTCATAAAAACAGGAACATTTGAGCAAAAAAAGTTACACTTTTTTTTAAAAAAATAATTAGTCGTTCCTGGATGTAACGGTTTTTTGTCAAAAAAAAAATATGTATTTTTTTCCTTCTCTTTCATTACCAACATTATTTGTACAAGGGTCAAAATACACATTATGCCCCTCATTGAAAACGTACGCGGGCCGTGTCTCTTTTGTTGATGCTTTTCTTGGTCTGACCAAACTCCTACTGTCACGTCAACAGCCTCGGATTTCACTCATGCCCTCGCATCTCAAATCTGGATTCACACAATTGCGGCTATGAAACAATTTTATCAGGACAGGCACGTTAGCTTTGGAGCTTGCCTTTTCTTATCAAATCAGGACTCACAAGATGGCGGCTGTGGAACAATTGTATCAGGACTCACACGTTGAAGAGTGTGGAGCTCCTCATTCAACCCTCTCATGCCGTAAGAGAAGTATTTCCTTGACCGCCAAGAGCAGTGTGAGTCCAAGACCAGGAGATTTTCACAAGAAGCCCAAAAGGAACAACAAGCCTTTTGTAAACAATTGGTCAAGGACGGGAAGTCACCACAAGAAGATGAGGCTTTTCTCCACCTGGTATATCCAGCTGCGCAAGAATGGGTGTAAGTGTTTTTGCCAAAGAATCTCAGTCGATCTTCTTTCTGATTTTGTGACTTCTGAATTTTTATATAGGTAATCCAACCCACAACCTGATCAATACCTACTTTGTTATTCAAGGACGCTCGCTGTCTATGTCTTTGTTCTTTGATTCAACCTATCTGGTTTTCTTTCCATGAGCGCAATGTGACTTTGTTTTGATTGCTTTCATTTTATTTTTCTCTCTTGCTCTTTTTTCCCCTTCAACTGGTTCAATTAATTTTTGTTTTTGTGATTCTAGTCCCATGTTGTCTTTGTTTGTTTGACCCACTGAGAACAAAAGATCATACAAGTTAAGAGCAAACCCAGTTCGCCCAAAACTGGACAAAATTTGGGCAAAACCTGGTTCAAACCCTTTTTTGACCCTTACCTACCCCCTTAGCCATGCTTGTAAGTCTATCCTATCTCAGAGTCACAATTCCCCCTCACCTGATTTTCTTTTACAGCTGTTCTAGAAATTTGAGAAAATAGTTGTTTAGATCATAATGTTGGTGTTTTACATAGTGTAGTTGGAGCTTTGGGACCGAATCAATGTCGAGCGTTTTGGGAATGGATCAACATATCGGGCCTGATGTTAATGATATCAAAACATGTCTGTGAAACTATAATTGTCTTGGGGTTTTTTCTTCATAGCATCTCTTTTCATATCTCTCTGTTATTTTGGTATGGAAGTATTTCAAAAAAATTGATTGTTCTTGTGTAATTGAATATATTTAATTACACTTATTTGTTTGATCAGTTAAAAATCAAAGATCTTAAAAAAACTTGGAACAGAATCAGCAAAATTTGGAATCTCTTGAGCGAGCAAATCAAGTTAAAAATGCATGCATGCATATTCTTTCCCTTTTCTATACACTCACTTTGGGATATATCCACATGAAAAACATTACAAATCCAATGTAAGGAAAAAAGAAGATTAAAATTGTGTTAAAGAAATAGCTTCTTTGTTCTTGATTTTCAAGTTTGATAAGATTGAAAAATAAGAGAAAACCAAAAACCCACCACCCAAACTCAATTCCCCTCACACGCAAAAGTGTGCTTTGTTGTCTAATATGTAGTAAGTCCCTTGCCCCGCATTGTAGTGTGTGACAAGCAGCGGGAGGCTTAGTTGAGCTTAAGATCTTGTTGACCAGGTCCGCATCTACATTTCAAGGCTTCAAAGACACCTTTAGGTCATGTAGGTGCATTCCTGGGGCTGTATCCCCAATATATGATTCAATTTTAGGAAATATGATGAAGAGAAGAGTACATAATTAGGAAATAATCTAATCAGTATGAGACAAATGAGATTGAAAGTGTGAATAGATGAGAAAAAGATACAGCATAATATTGATAATAATTTATTTAAGAACTGAGTAAAACACAAATCAATCATGAAAAGTCTTCCAAATGGCTATATTGTCTAATTGTAAATAACCCATTTAAGAAATTGAACACTCATGACCTCAGAACATTCATATATATTCAAGATATTCAATTGTGATTCCTCTTTCATCAATCCCGAAGTAAACTCTCTGGTTCAGGATGGCTTCACATACCAAAGAGTGACCATATCAAACATCAGTCAAGTAATCAAAATGTGTCAGTCAAGTATTCAATAGCACCTCCATATCATTTTGATGATGTGATCAATGAGATTGATTTCAATTGGATTGGATTTGTTGAATCGATAATTATATATTCGGCTCCAGATGGATGTACTTGTAATTAAGCAAGTACACCAGCGACTAGAATTTCAAAGAAAAAGAGGTTTACAAACACATAAGAATCATAATTCAATATGATGATGACATTTTTTAAAAGAAATTCATGATAACTTACTAATGGATACTCCTTAATTTCCATTTCTCCATGGTGATGATTTATCTTTGATTCATTATTTACCTCTGCATTTAATTCCAAGTCCAGTAGATTCTACTCTGGTTCCTGACATCGATCGATCCTATATAAAAAAGAAAACTCAAAATCTCAGTCATTTATTCAAATCAAACGTTCTGAAGAAATGAAAGAGATGTAAACTTACAGAGGTGTATGTGGATTGAAGTTGATAAGTTGGTAATTAAGTCAAGAGTGAACAGCAATCGATCATGATCACTTGATTGGTGGAATTGGATTGGGTGTGAAAATCGTCGACGTGGCAAGCACCAAATTGGAGGGAGGATCTCTATCTGGAATCAGGGACGGGGTTCGGGGTTGACCCAATCCACGGTGTGTAAGGTTCGCTGCGCTGCACGTCAGCTGTATTTGGGGGGGAAAAAGCAAAAAAATTGTCGAAGATGACATTAATTTCTAGAATAGCTGTAATTTTAATTCTTTAATTTTTTAAAAATCTTCTTTTCTGAACTTTGACTTCTTGATGTAATTGTCTTCTCTTGGATCTCGAATGATAGACGTAGCAATATGATAGGAGCTGGCGTGAAGAGATGCAAGAGACAGAGCTCAAAGGTCCTTCAGGTTAGGTAATAGATTGCTACGTGAGGAACTGCAGTTCTACTCGAGTGAGAGGATAACTAGAGTCCAACACAGTATAAGCATATAGAGCAAAGCCTTGTAACCTGTGGCTCATAACACAAACTATGTAGTGATACTTTAACTGATTTAAAGTTCAATCTCTATGGAGCAGTTGGTTTCTCACCGGGTATGATAGATGCTGTGAAGCAAGTTCATAAACTGGATAAGTTGATTATTATAGGAAGCCCATCCACAATTGATGTCAACCACTCTAAGGAAAAGATTTACTCAATGTGACGGCAAAGCTGCGGTCATTTTCACTTAATTTTGGTCACTTAAAGCACCTAAATCTACAGCCTGGATTGCCATCTTACCTAGAACATCTCTTATTATGTGTGACCCAGGCAATCTTGGGGCAATTACCCATTTTTGTTAATGTCAAGGTAGAAATCCAAAATATCTAAAGTATCTACCAATTGATAATTTTGAACCACTAGATCAAATAATCTTGATCTTTAAGGACTCAGTTGAATATATTTTTGTAGAATAGAGGCTCTCAAACCTGACCCGGTTTTCAAAAACCCAGTTGACCCAGTTGACTTTTTGGCAGTAACTTTGTATATAAATTTGACATTTATTGACAGCTCCCAGCCAAAAAGTCAACTGGGTCAACTGGGTTTTTTGAAACCAGGTCAGGTTTGAGAGCCCCTAATGCATCCCTAATTCTCTTCCAGGGGGAATCTGTCATCAAATCTTTCCTTGGCTTAGGGTTATATGATCTGTTCAGGCAGGCTGCCTTAGTTTGACCCTCAGGTGGCTGCAATTGAACATGTTCAAGAACATTCAGGTTTTAGTCACATGTTATTTGAGTTCAAGAGATTATTGGTGTATGATGTTGGACATCCATGCTGTTGGATCTTTTGAGAAAACTGTTGGATTCAAACATATTGTTTTTATTTTCCTCAACAGTACTGTAGTGTAAGATCAAGACTTGGTCAAAGGCTTTCAAAGCCACAGAATCAAATTTCACTTCAAGAATGAATGGTCATACACAGATATTTTGGTACGTCCGTATACTTTCAAACTCTTGGAAACAAACTGTCTTTGCTGAGAAGATAAAATTGATAACAAGAAAAAATGTAATTGAACAAGAGTTTTCAAGACTCAATGCTTATAATAGAGGCAATGAAAGTTTACTGTTTCCTTGGTTCATTGAGTAAATATTTTACAGCTTATATCTAAATTAGTTGCAAATGATCTGGTCAGATCTCAAGTTGTCATTTTGATTATGAGTGAATATGTTGTATGTTAGGTGGAATCAAAGTATATTTGTTCACTGAAGTAGAGTAAAAATATTGATAGGGGTAGACATATTAAAAGTGAGAGGGTTAATTATTAGTGTGATTGCAAGAGGTTTTTCCGCATCCTTATCAATTCAAAACTTTGGTCACGGCAGAAGCCGCTGATGTGCTAGTGCTTATCAAAGCAAATCTCCCAATCACGTTTCTGCTTGGTTTTTGACAAGAAACAAGGAATAATCCTTGTCCATGTTGAAAGAGACCTGAGATGCTCATGCTTATGAGAAAGGGCTCGCGTGAACCCCCCTAAGAAGTGGGCAGCTAACAGGTAGATGTTTAGCAACCGGAAGGTACTGTGCTTGCTGAGATCAGGCACAAAATGCGCAGAGGAAAGGTTGAGGTTATGACATAACCAAAATGAGTTGTTTCTCTCTTGTGAGAAAGTCTGAATAATACATCAGCTTGTTCCCTCTCCCCTATCACCTTTGCTTCTCTAAGAAGCACTTCTAGTCCTGTCACTCTTTCTCAGAGATTTTTAGCATCTTGCAGTTTGTCTTTTCCTCACTAGAAGTGTGAGGTTCTCTTTTTTGAACCCACAAGTTTTGACAAACCCCACCCGCCCATAGGTTTGAAGGGACTCAATCCCAACACCCTCACTGTTCTCTCTTCTTGTAAGGAATGAACGCCAAAGATCAACAGGCTTCCCACAAAGGAGAAAATAAACACACTGGTTTTCACCCTTAGCTTGTAAGCCTCACGACTAGTCACAGATCCAATGGCAAGTCTTACACTTAGCATAAATAACACTTATCAAGTGAAGATTTGAATTATTAATCCTCTCAAAAACATTTGACATCTGAATGTTTTGCATAAAACATGGAGGTTGAAATCAGTAAAGAATGCTGTCTTTCTGAACAACCGGACACACACATCAACAATCACCAAAAATAGAACTCCATTTGAATCTTGGCAATTTACACTTTCACACCACCAATGAGGTGGTACAATATCAAGTAGATTTGGGGCGGTCACATGAACATTTATCTTTCCCGCGACACGTTGGACAACGAAATTCCTCCGCAATGTCAATGGATTTGACCAAAGCTTTGTCAGCCGGTCTCATGGCTCTTTTGCTCTTGACACTGTGAGTCATTAAGCCAAAAGCTTGATTTGATATGAATGCCATAAGGATTGCTGTGCCAATACTGAGCTTCATGATGATGTCTAATTTGGTGACCAAGTTTTAGATTTGGGAAATTGTGAAGAAGATTTGGTAATATACTTCAGAACTCACTGATATGCTAAAGCCACAGCTTTTAGTTGGGATTCAGTGAAATTGATAGTATCTAGGCCCATAAAAATGGTAAAGTAAGGTACCATAAAGTATGAGCTTGGTTCATGTCTTCAAGGAAATTATACAATTGGCTGATGTAAATTGTTGGGAAACATACCCAGGCAAGTTTGTGGTTTAGACAAACACTTCAGTAAAATGATTGGATGGGAAACAAATCATCAGCATACCAGTTGGCCTTATATATTTGTTGAAGACTACCGGAGAGTTTCTCACCAATCATTGCATCATAGATGAAGATGCTGTATTCCCTTGCATCACCTTCTGCAGAGTTGTATCAGGTCGGGTTTCAACTGAACTCAATTCTTGTATTGTGCAGAAGCTTGTTGTGGGCTTGCTTGATGAATCATAAATCTAAAGGCACAACCCAGTTTCTCTGCAAAAGTGGATAAAACCCCTTAAGCCCTTAACAAGCGGTACACCTAAGACTCCAACCCTCTTAGGCTCAGCTGTTCCCGACCCCACCTCTCTTAATGGCCTGTCAAACCACTGTAATCCACCAAATCAAACCCAATCAAGTCCCAGAAGATGTTCATCACGAGTTAAAAACCAATCCAAAGTCAATCAGAATCAAATCTAAATTCAGATAAAGAAGAAGAAAACATACCTTCTTCACCTTCTTCACCTTCATCAGATCATCATCAAAAGAAATGTATTCCCGATGGATTTCAAGATCGATCGTTACCTCATTTCCATAAAAAAGCCAAGGAGCCACCCGCCAAAGGATTCGTTCGTAACAGTTTTCATTCAGGTCTTCGAGCCACAGAATTTCTCTTTCACGCCATCTCTGGAAGAGAAGGTCTGGTAGATACGGCCGTCAAAACTGCAGAGACAGGTTATATGCAACGTCTACTGATGAAAGCATTAGAAGATCTTTACACTCGGTATGACGACTCTGTGCGGAATTCGGTTGGAGGTGTGGTACAATTCACATACGGTGATGACAGATTAGATCCAACGTATCTTGAAGGAGATGGAGAACCGGTTGAATTCGCTCAAACATGGCGTCATTCCAAGGTATCAAATTATTTTCCGCATTGAATTCGGTCCATTATCTTCTGACATCTTGCAATTACAGGCCACTATCTCACATCTCGACAGTTGAGGTTTATATCCATATGAGATTGTACAAACAGTGGCCAATCGACTTGCTGAGCCTCGGTTTGCCAAAGCTTGTACAACCCAATTCACAGATTCAGTTTTGAATTTCATTACCAACTCAGTAGCCAAACCAGCAGCTACTTATCGAGCGAGTTATGGAATGTATCCAGCCATGGAGATAGATGGTGATTGGGATGAGGAGACTGATCTATCAGCTGGAGTTACCGGTAAGTGTTTCTATGGTTGGTCTGTTTTGTTTATTTGCTCGCATCTTGATCATTTTTGTATGGTTGATTGTGGTGGCTTCAGATGCAAGTGAGAAGATAGTTGCAAACAAGACACAGGTGACACTCAAGCAAATCGATACCTTCCTAGACTATTGTTGGGTCAAATACGTCAAGGCAAAATTGGAGCCTGGTAAGTACTTTGTGCGAGGTAGTCTCCATGTGGAGCCGTCTAAACTGACGGTCTTGGTTTTACATACATATAGGCACAGCAGTTGGTGCAGTTGGTGCACAATCCATTGGAGAACCAGGAACACAGATGACTTTGAAGACTTTCCATTTTGCTGGTGTTGCTTCTTCAAGAAAAGAAAAGTTCAGTTAGTAATATGTAAAGAAAAAAGACATTAGAAACAACTTACAATCATGAATTAAAGTCGGTCAAAAGTTCAGTCAATCGAGTTTAGGAGAACAATTTAAACCAACAAAATCGAAATCAATTGAGTTTTTTAAGATAGAGTTCAATCAATAGCACTGCCAGCATTAAATAGGTTCCCTGGTCGGAACATGACCTAGGCTGGGAATATCATTGAGAGAAGAATGGAGCATCACATCATCTCGCACTGCACATCTGAGCCATAAAGCATACACTACATATGTGCAAACATCTGAGTAAATCCTTAGCTATCAGCTACATACAGGTCCGCTCAGTTATCTGCTCATCTAGATAAGAAAATCATGTGTAATACATGCTGTAACTTTGTTCAGATTGAGACACACATTTCAAAATATTGACTACATATATCACAATGGCTACTCAGGCAATATTCATGGAACTGTGTAACAGTAGCAGAATGGGAATCTGATCACTAGGACCCATATTCCCATCTGGGAACCTCTTTAATGCTGGAAGTGTAGATCAAAACAAGGAGGACAAAATCGAGTAAATTGAAATAGCTTGATTTTAGAAATTTGAAGTCAGTCAAGATTGAATGGATCAATCTAGAAAGAGAAGAGAAAACGTCGAAATGAAATAAAGTAAAATAAAACAAAATCATTTTTAATAGACTCAAATAGATAAATCAAATCGAGAAGAACAATTAGTCAACCAAACAATCAAAATAAGAAAATGAGAAGGAAAGAAGAAAACTTACGATTTGAAATCAAATCAATCGATCGGACGCAATCCAACAGCAAAGATGATTTCACTTTAAAATCAAATCATTTGACACAAATCAATAAACCTGAAAATCAAAAAAAGGAATCAGATAAAGAAAGAATCAAAATTGGAAAATCAAACTGATTGATCTAAATTAGTAAAAGAGTCAAGTTAGAAAATTAAATTAGCCAAAACAACTTGATCAAACCAGTTTAAAAATACAAAATCAAATGAGAATGGGAGAAGAAAGGAGACACTTACATCATATTTGATTTGAAAAGCCAAATTTAAAGGACTGCTGATGTAACATGATAGGAGTTGGAAATAACAAAGGAATTGGTTAGGAGGTGAAGTTGAAAGGGTATAAAGAGCAGGATTGTTGGGATTTCTTTTTTCTTCTTTTGATTCATCTATTGGTGTGGCTGTGTGCGTGCTTGTGTGTTTCAAAGTTTTTGTCTGTTTATTAGTGTGTTAGTGTTTTCTTAGAAGTGTGATCTCAATTTAAAGTGTTAACCCTTATAAGGGCAGTGTCATTATTTTATTGCCAGTGTTAAAGTTTGATATTGGGAAATTTCCAAGTGTGAATCACATTTAAAGAGTGTTCTTTATTGTTCCATCTCCAGTTGAAAATACCTTCTTAGTCTATGAGTGCACAGATTATTAGCGGTTGTATCTTTTTAGTAGACTGCAGAAGGTCAATCAAATTCCTACCCATCATTAACCTCCTCTATTAAAAAGCTCTTCTATATTTTTAATATTGTTTTAGTTCTCTTGAAATATTCTTAGTGTTGGAACCTTTTGGAAGAAAGTTGATTGTGAAGCATTATCAATTCCTGGTACTTTTTTGTATAGGGAAGACAAGGATGATGTGACACAGTATTTATAGATTGATAAAACACACTACCTGATCTCAAGTCAATCTGAGATCTCTACAACCACTTCAGTCCATGTTTGGAATGAAAAAGGTTTGATTAATTACTCTTCAATACACTTTTTTTCTCAAAGACTGAATTCCCAATAACCATCATTTGTAGCAGAACAAATCCAATTGAGGGAGATGAATAATCAAAAGCAAAAGAGAGAGCCAATGATGAGAAACATGATGAGGAATCAAAGATTGAAGATGAGGAAGATGAGGAAGACAGCTCTTCTACTCCTTCTGCCCCCAGAAACAAGATAGTAAAGAAAGAGTTATGTGATCAAATGAACACAATAGGACATGTTTGGACCAAGTTTGATATCAAGGTTTTTTCCTTTCAGAAACCAATTGTAAATTGCTTTTGGGGTTACTTTGGAATAAAGAGGCAAATGAGGTTTCAGATGCAGATTAAATTACTTTCCAGAAAGGACTTTGTGGCCAAACTGAGGCTCCTTCATCTTGCAGTCACTTTCAAGTCAGTCTGAAAATCCTCTAGGTTCATGTGTGTTCACAAAGCTGATCTCAACTTCATATCTATGAAAAACAATAGGAAGTTGTTTGACCCACATTCCATGGATCGATTTTCTTCCCTTATACCTTGCTGGCCAGTTTTGAAACCAAGACTAATGCACAACTTGATTCTGTTTGATCAGTTTTTTTGAAAATTTTTGGTCACCAAAGAACATTCACTTGACTCCATTCCAAAATGGTTTGATTGGATCAAAGTGGGCATTGATGCAGATGATTTACCAATGAACATGGGATGTTAGATTTTACACAGTCCTGGCAAATTTGTATGTATAGACTGAAATTTGGTGACGTTTATGGCTTTTCATATGTATGTATGAGAGCCCCTGACAATACCCAAACCGCTCCGCTCAAAATAGTGGTTTCGGAGCGGTTTTGGCACCCGCTATAGCCTCCGTGGTCTATAGCGGTGCCCGCGCACCGAACTCACGAGCCGGATTTTTCCGTAGCAGATTGACCGCTGCGAAATGGATAGGGGCCTTGGGCTCTCCGCTATATAGCGGACACCAACCACAATGAACATCCGGAATGGCTAATTGTCTGTTGTTTACCTTTTCATATGAATTTCATCCTGAGTTCTGGAAACTGACTGTTGCTTTTCAAGACTAATGCATACAAAACAGTCAGGTGATCTGTGTATGATCGGAGAACAACTAACGATTGTAGCTCAAAGTCTTTACAAGCTTGAACCAAACCAAATTCTGCAAGAAAGATTATCTCAAATTTGTGCTACAGGCTAACTGGCGGGCATTGTTCAAAGACAGCCTACTTTCCACTTCAGCTCACATCCAACGACTAAGGAGATCGATTTTGAAGGCTTGGAATGGGCTCTCAAAAGAAAAACAAAAGGGAAAGTTTCAATCAAAAGTAAATGACATCGATCATCAATCTTCAATGTCTAATCCATTATCCAAAAGTTTACCATCTGAGGTATTTGGTTGTTTTTTTTATTTCTTTCAACTAACTACAAAATCACTTCTTCATATTTACCTTTCTTGATTGTCTCTCTTTTGATTTTCGGGTTAGCTTATCGATTGGATTCTAATCCAACGGTGTGGTGAGATCGAAGGAGAAGTCTTGAATGAACTCTCTTGTCAAAGTTCTCCGTCGGATTCGATCGATTGGGGGGAATTGGTGCAATGTAGGATTAAACTTCGACAAACTCTGGCTTCTACTCAAGATGATTTACTTTGTACAAGATTGGTAAAGGATTTGATCTTGTAATCACATGATATTATCATCTTGACTGGCTGTTTTTGGAATGTTTTGGATCTACATCTTTAGTCAAAGAATCATCCTGGAAGAGAAAAGGTGATGGAACTTTATCAAGATGTTTTTGATTTACTCAACTCATCCTGCTCATCATCATCATCAAGTCACATCTTGAGTTTTTTTATTACACATGTTTTTCTTTTTTCTCATGCTTTTCCTTTTCTAAGACACTATATCTACTCTTCCACCTGTCCCTGCCCTATAGGATTGGTCACGTACACATAGATTTGAAATATTTTTTTTTCTTTGCTTGTACATCATCAGCGCGAAAATGCGCTATATAGCGCGCTATAGAGCAAAAAATAGCAATTTCTTCGCTCCGAAACATTGCAAGGTTTTTTTTCTTTAGAAATAGCGATCTTGAGCGGAGCGATTCATAGCGCCCACTCCGATACAATATGAAAATGGTCCAAATTCCATAGCGTATCGGAGTGGTTTGGGTATTGCCCCTGAAACCCTGCACAGAACACCAGATGGCGGCGCCCGCCGCCTAATTTGCTAGTGTCCTTGAAACTTGTAGTCTCCACTTGCTTCACATTTTGGTATGCACAGATTATGTTGCTTATTGTGGAGACACTGATTGTTGCACAACAAGTGTGCCCTTTTGACGCTTTGCCACATGTTCTTTGGTTTCCACTCAGATTGTGTGAATTGAGTGGTGTTTAGAGTCCCCTCAGTGTTACATAAAAAGTGTCATCGGCAGTTGAATGCCATGAATGCGCAGAGGAAATACGTCACTGCTGCTAACGCAATCAAACACTTATGTGCATGTATTGCTTGACGTGTCTGTGATCAAGAGTATCAGATCTTGAATGCATGAGAGAACAACAAATTGAGATCATGATAGACGGAGTTTATTGGTTTTTGATGATATGTACGCAACACTAATAACACTAATTATGAAATCATCAACCTTATCCACAACCATGCGTGACCATCCCCACTGCCGTAGAACGTATAACCCAACAAGGTTTATACAGAGCTGGGAGATGATAATCTACTAATTATAAAAATGACTATAGTGGGAACTATTAAGAGGCGAGAAGCCACAGACCGGGTAATTTGTAATTACAACAAACAATCTGATTTTTATTTGGTGCACTCTTGACCGTCAGAAATCAAAAAGAAAACAAGAACTTTGAAAATTGGTCTTCTGGGGATATTTTTGAAGATCCTTGAACAAGAGGACCCCAAAAATATCTTGATTTTAGAATTGGGTGATATCTGTGTAAAACAAGTCAATCAGCAAGGGAATTCTGTTGACTTGAGTACTTCCATTATTCGTAAGGTTGTTTACAAGTCAGGTGTATTTGGGAAATACTAGGGACTATGTCTGTATAAGTAAGAGGGAGTTCTTTCTCCCTTGATCTTATTCTTAGGACTGTCCTACCTTTCACATAGAAGTACCTACCCTGCATAAGGGCCTCAGCATCCTACATGTTTTGTGGTTTGGGGTGGGGCCCAAAGGTAGAAGAAAGGTATGGGAGTTGGTTCCAGCCAACTCCCT